GTAAACAGGGGCTGGGGTGGCAATGGCCGCTGAGGGCTGCCTGGTCGCGGACTGCCATGGAGGTCGTATGGCTCGTAGGAATTGACTGAAGCAGGCGGTCGCGAGTAGTCGATTGATGTGCGCGTGGGTGAATATGGTCGATCTGGCGATATCGACCGTCGGTAGGGGACGTAGTCGTCATCAATTGGAGGGGGCATGTTCGGGGCATTGTCCATTAATGAGGGTGTCCTCGACAGGCTGGATACTGAAGATGGTGATGGGTGGTACATGCGCGATGTTGGCTGGGGTTGTCTGTGAGAATGATGGGTCGGTAAGTCTGGGTCTTGCAATGGTGTTGTTTTTGAAGGCGACATCCAGCCGATGGCTTGTTGTCTCAATGATTTTCTGCCTGCTGAGTTGGTTTGCGCTGGCGCCGCACTCCCAGTCGCATTGAGCGCATTGCCAGCCTCACGCAAGAAGTCGTGGATTTCGGCCTCGGCCTCCCTCTGCTTGCCCGCCTCAGAGGGCGTCATGCGCGCGCCCAGGGCAGCAGCGGTGCTGGTTGCGGACGACATGTTTGAAGTGTCCTCGAAGGAGCGTCTTCTGGTACAGGAATGAGATTGAGTCCACAAACGTGGGACGCAAGTGAGGGTGAAAGTGAAGAAGAAACAAGGAAAACTAATACTCACGACACATAGCTTTGGCTATCGTCTACGTTTGTCAACAAACGCATGGTTGGGCCTCCTTGGAGCTGAGGGGAGCCGTCTTCATCGTCATATGCAGGTGGCCGTCCATAGTGTGCACCACCTGGGGTGGTGGGTCCGTTCATGATATGTCGGTGAGTCGTGAAAAAAAGGAAAAGAGAGCCCAAATGTGGTAGGAGCGTGGTGCTCTCTCTCTCTAGTGTCACTCGAAGAGCTATTGAGAAGTCGGGAATGCTAAATTAATGTTTCTGGGGAATCGATGCAGTCGCTGAGCTCTAGAGTTAATGCGAGGCGGCACATCCGGCGGTGTTGTTTCTTCCACGGTTGTCGTGCCAACAACTCGGCCCAGCCCTAGAGCCGCCAGGTACGGCCCCCAGACTCGACCCACTTCTGGCTTAGACCGTTGCACACCAGCATAGCAACCACTATTCGTCCGGAGCCGCGTGGGACGGTGGCACGCTGTCGTGGTCAATTGGCTGGGGATCGCCGTCCGTTACACGGTTAGCGGGTGTGTGGTTGTCCTGGGAGACGCCCGATCCGTCACACCGTGTACGATTTAGGGCTGAAGCACGTCATACCGGTCCATGCATGTGTGAACAGGGCGTTTGCAGGATACTGCGGCGTTGTTGAGAGACAGCTGTGCATTAACGTGCAGAAATCTAGATTTGCTTCTATCTACGTCCTGAGAATACCTGCAAAATATGCTTCTACCCCCTCGAGTCCCGCCTCGTCGAGCGTGTCAATGTATCCTACGTACTGGTCTGGTCTGGCAACCACAACGCATCCCGTTTCTCTATCCACGCCGTATTTCTTGTATGCATCTGCAAATGCTTCGTAGTAGTTGCCATCATCCACGTACACCGAGTCATAGTCCCATCCAGTCTTGGGATCAAAGGGATGCAGAACATCAGGGAAGTCTCTTAGCAGCTCGACGTCGAGGCGCTTGGATGAGTGCAGTGTGAGCACATCAATGTCCTTGATGAGCCGCGGAGCCAGGAGAGGCGATGATGAGAGGCGCTGGCAGAAGCCCTTGAGGCGACTACTCTGCTCTTGGTTGACCACATTGCCGGCAAAAACAATGATGCGGAATCGTCCATCGCTCTTTAACTTTTGCTGAAACTCCCATGCCCGACCGTCTGACTGATTGAGGACCTGGTGGCTCGGGAAACGCATACCTATCTTCGTCTCCGAGGCGAGTTCTTGCTTGCCAATGATCTGTGTCTTGGACGACACGTCTGTTCCATCGCCCTGTTCCGCGGCATTGCCTGGTTTGCCCACTAACATGCTCGTACCGTAATCGACCGAAAGGCCAGCAGCGAATAGACCGCCTGAGTCAGGTCAGCAGCATATTTTGTGGTTTTAGAGAGCCATCACTTACCCTTGAGGAATGCCTGCTTGAACTCCTCCATGCTTACACCCTCTTCATCCATGAGGTCCTTGGCCGGTCGGCCAGAGAAGAGTCTTGAAAACTTGTGGTCAAATGCAATGAGATCCTGGGCAATCCGTCTCCGCTCAGACTGGTACGTTTTGAGTATACTTGGTTGAGCGACGCCCTTGACTACCAGTCCCAATTTCCAGCCCAGATTGTAGGCGTCCTGCATGGATACATTCATACCCTGTCCAGCCTTTGGGGAATGTGTGTGGACAGCATCGCCAGCCAGGAAAATGCGGCTGTCACGGTCAAAGTTCTTGCCCACTCGTTGGCCGATTTGGTATGCGGTCCACCAGTCGCAGTATTCATATGTCAACTTGTAGGGCGCAATGATTCTTCGGGCTGCTTTGATGATGGTATCGGGTGTGATTTTGGACCTGTCTGCCCGTCCACTGGCATCTGGTTTGATCTCGGTGAGCTGGATGTACAGTCTGGTGAGCTTGTTCTCCCGCGGAATGATCATCATGGAACCTGAAGACGCGCTATGGATGGCGCAACGCTTCCGAACATCGGGAAAATCCGTGATGGGAATAATGTCGAGTACACCCCAGATGTGGTCTGTTGGCTCTCCTTCAAGCTCAAATCCCAGCTGCTTTCGGGTCCAACTGTGTGCGCCGTCGCACCCTACAACATATTTTGCTCTTACAGTCTCTGTGCTACCGTCCTTCTGTCTGCTGTTTGCGATTAAATCTTGAGTGTCATCTTCTGCCAAGTTGCTCCGGAAAAGGCCGTCATTGATGCTGGAGCCGTTGCTCTGGGCAGGCGTGGCCTCCTCTTCGGTCAAATACCGCAACTGCACAGTGATGGGGTAGTTGTCCGGTGAGTGGTCATTTACTTGGTCTTGGTCGATATGCAGCGATTCAGGGAGCACTCCACGCTCTACACGTAGGGTATCTTTTGAATGCTTCTTGATGTGATCTAGAAAAAATCGTTCGATACGACCTTGGTGGAGGACACACTCCTTGAATCGCGAGATTCCAGGAACGACATCTGGGACTTGGTCGGAACGACGTATGACACCGTCTTGGCCAGGGTTCTGTGCATGTTAGGAAACGATTGAAAGAAGTGGGTTTTCGCAAACTTGCCCACATGCAAAACTGAGAGGTGGTTAGTCAAGTCAAACCAAGCCAAGTCGGTGAACGGGTGTACCTCGATCAAATGGTTGGCCTCCTTCCACGCTCTGTCGGCGAAACCAAAACTGTCAAAGATTTCCAGACTACGCAGCTGCAACCCATCTGCCTGTCCAGCGTAAATCTTGGTGCCTCGCTTGTCGACTATGCGGGCATTGATGCCACATCTTGCCATCCAGGTAGCAAGCATCAGACTACACAAGGTCAGTCACTCACATAGCGCAGTTCAAGAGGAAACGTACGCACCCTGCTGGACCAGCACCGATGATTAGACTTGAAAGCTGTTAGCCGTGTTCCAAGAGGCTCTGAATGAATAGACTGACACATCGCATTTTGACTCTGGCGTATCCGAAACTGTCATGATGAAAGATGTTTGCTTTTGTTGATGTGCCTTTGGGTATCGCTGTATTGGTGCAATCAGGTCAAGGATGTTGTGTTACCCCGCTCTAGTAGTAGTAGTAGTAGTACTAGTGTATGATGCGCATAGGATTCAACAACACACTTCCAGGGTCACATTCTTATAGGTATCCGCAACCAATTTGATTTAGTATCCGGGTAGGCACAACGGCAGTGGATATCAAGTGGATTGGTAGTTCCTACTACATTGCGAGGACCTGATTGCGATAGGTGCGCGACTACCCCACATGACATCAAGTTTCACCGAAGGCCGGGCGGGGCGCATGGCCAGTGGAGAATTTACCCGCAAATTCCGATTCGTATATTTGGGGGTGAAGGTGCGGGTCTGTGACATGGTGCAGGGCAGTATTCTAGGCTTTGTCAAGGCTTTGTCAGGCACGCATAACAGAGATGGGGCGATAGAGGCTGACAACGATCTTACAAACCACCATATGCCACATGTTTGATTTATGTCTGCCCCACAAAACACAAGTACAATACGAGAGAAAGGCATGTGCAGTCAGAACACTGGCATTGCCTGCCTCTCTTGCTTGTGCGCAGAGAAGGTCTATTCTAGCAAGGGCGGATTATCATAGTTAGCATCTTAGTCACCTCACATACGACCGTACGAAGAGAGAAACCCAATCTGCCCTCAGCCTCGTCCGTAGGCATTTCTAAACTTTGGTGGTTCATGGAGAAAAGGGTTGAGCCGGAAATTGCACATGTCGTAAGCAGCGCATGAGGCTGGCATGAGCATGGCATGAGGAAAAGTCATGATTGTAGATTCAATGTAATTATTGGTCTTAATAAGCCGCAAAGTCGGATAAGGTTCAAGCCCTGCTGGACGATATGCTTCGCAAGCTCGCGTAACCTCAAACGTGTTGTCCTATCATAAGAGTAAGACGTACTACATCTAGGTTGTCGTCCAAATCCTTGTACCGGACGAGGCCATGCACTAGGGTACAGGAATCTAACAAGCACTTTCAAGAGAGCGCAAAAATGATGTGTACATGTAAGTATCGAACGATTCAAGGGCAAAGCAGAATGTTAGAGTTAGTGATTGACCAAGTGAAGTTTAAAATCAACAGGTCCTTTTGTTGAAGTTTGTGTCTTCTCATGTGTGGGTTTGCCCACAAGCATGGCTTACGGAGTGGCTACAAGACTTTTTGCCCGTATCACAGTCAGACTGACACTTGGCCTCACAGCAGGTCACATCCAACATGATTTCATCATGATCATTTCCATGAGAAACCGGGGTATCATGCAAAAAAGAGAAAGGGACGAAAGAAAAGTGAGCAGCGCGCAGGGCCCGGTTCGATATCTGTGTGGCTGCAGAGATGGATCACGGGTGGAAAGAAACTAGTAGTCGTGGTCAAATTGGGGAGGCTGCAACTTGTCCAAGTACTTGGTCACTTGGGTGAGTCTTGTGTTGATGCTGGAAAGAAGCCGAGTCTGCACTTTAGCGCCGTTTGCTGCAGCCCGCTCGAAGCAAGCATGGGCTTCCTTGAGCTCTCTGCGGGCATTGGACAGACGCTGGATTCGGCCTGAAACGGGGATGCTGGTGTTTGCACTGATTCGTGCAGGAAATGCAGCATCGCTGTCATCGTCGACGTCGAGTGTGCCGAGGGCAAGGTCGCTGATCCACAGAGCAACGTTGGCACGCAGCTGGAGAAGATTTGCCTGTTTGTCAAAGGGCGGTGACGCAATGACTTGGTCAAGACGCTCGGCAATCTCGGTGGCCTGGGCCAGCTCGTGTGTACGGATTGCCTCTTCGTTTGCGCCGGAGTCATCCGGTCTTTCAGACGCAGCGCTGTCGACTGACATGCTCCTCGGCGTTACGCATCGGTTTGCACGTTCTTGCTGCAGCTGCATCTTTGCACGCCTGCTCTTCTCGCGCACCTCGTAGATCCACAGCGAGAACATGGGTGGGTAGAAGACGCGCTCGTCGACGGCATATGGCTGGGTTTTCCGGGTTGGGTGCTGGACGATGAGACGCTCGTAGTAGTTGCGGGCCAGTTCAAAGCCCTCGGGGGAGAAGGGTCCATTTTGACGAGCCGGCTGGGGCTCGTCGTGCGAGTCTGGGCGTGGCGTTTGCGGGCTGCGTCGAAGAAGAATCTCGGCGCCGACGCCCCAGCGGTTGTGGTTGCGAGGGTCGACGTGGGTTCCACCAGCAATCTGGGTGCGCAGAATCATGCCCCAGGCCCGGCTGGCGCGGTCATAGTCTCCGGTGAGCAGACACGAGTGCATTAGTGTGGAGAGGTTGTCGAGATGGGTCCTTTTGACGTCGTCGCGGGCGTCGTGGGCCCGCGGGTGCGCGGGAGCGGCGTCGACGGCGTACAGGTGGACAGGCGGGCTGGCCATTTGCTGCTGGATCCCAGTGGAGCCATGGGGCTTTTTGAACGTGCTGGCAGGCGCATGGGGGAAGGGTGGTGGAGGCACGTCGTGTGCGCGGGCGGGCAATGGGCCTGCGCCACGCAGCTGGGCTTTTTCCGGGGCGGGCGAGTCGGCGGGGTTCCTGTTGGAGGGTGCTTGTGCGGGCCTCTGGCAGTGGGCAGCGCGCAGAGAGGCGGGCGCGGTGTGCTGGTCGCGCAGGTGGGTGGTGAAGTACATGCTGCATGGGTGTCGGGGGTGTCGGGGGTGTCGGTGGTGGTGGTGGTGGTGGTGGTGGTGTGGCGGTGGTGGTGTGCCGGGCGCAGGCGGGCGTCGGCGCGGGCCCCCTGGCGGGCGACACTGCAGCCCGGTGTACGATAGCAGGACTCTGGCAGCAGCAGTCGGAGCCGTGGGCGCGGACGAGGCGGTGAGAGGGTGAGCAGGAGGCGCCGGGGCGGCAGAGGACAGGAGGCGACGGGGATGGGCGCAGAGGGAGGGCAGGCGGACGAGACAGTCGTCTCTTCGCAGCGTCAAGCTGTCGCGACCTGTTTCATGGCTGGCCCGCCCGGGCAGAGGCAGGCCGGGCGGGCAGGCGCTAGGCCGCGTCGGGCATGGCCGGTCCCGGGGCTGCGCCATACGCCTGGCTGGACTGTCCGCCTGTCCGCCGCCTGTCTGCCTGTCTGTCGGCGGCCTGATCATCGTGACTGTCTGTCTGCCTCTCCGCCCGTCTGCTGTCTGCAAAGGCCAGCCTCCCATCTCTCCCCCGCCCGATGCCCTCGCACAATGGGCCAGGCACACTCCAGAGGCGCGACTGACGCCCCATGCCCGCCCCGACGACGCCCGCGCTCGTGGGCGCCCGGCCTGCTTGCCTCGTCCTCGCCCTCGCTGCCGCCCGTCACCGACTTGGACACGACCACCACCACGACCCGCCCCGACGGCCGCTCAAGAGCCCCCTCGCCCCCGCCTCCGCCAGCTTCTTCCCATGCCCGCTTCTCCCGCCGCCTGTCCTCGCACCTGGGCTGGCTCGATGGCCGCCGCGAGCCCCCGCCCACGCACCGCGAGCCCCCGCGCTCGCGCTCGCGCTCGCGCTTGCATAGGGCGCGCTCCTCGCTCAGCTCCATGACGGGCCTGCTGCATGCCCGCCCTTCACTGCGCACACGTGACACGGAGCCTGCCCTGCCCTCGCTCGCCCCAGACGCTCCGCTGCCCTCCTCGCCCGCCCGCCCAGCCCGACCGCACGCCGCCACCGACCGAGGCCTGGTCCTTCCACGTGTACAGGTCCCGGATCTGGGCTTGGACTTTGACCAGCTGCTCCGCTCAACCTCGCCCGTCGACCGCCCAGATGCCCCCCGCCAGCGCCCGCCAGCGCCGCTGAGTCCGCTGCGGCGCGACGGACGCTCCCTGGGCATCATTCCCTCGCAGCGCCGCATCCGCAACATGATCGGCCACCAGCGCAGGCGGCGCTCGCTGTGGCACGAGGGCGAGACCATGGACAATGCCCAGCAGCTGCGCCAGGGCGAGGATCAGGCCGATGTGCTGTCCAGGCTGCTTTCCCTCGCCGCAGCCGCCACGGCAGCCTCGCTCGTGGGTGACGACAACCAGGCTGCCACTCGAGACGGCACCTTTGATACGTTTCTACAGTCGCTCCAAAACGGCAGCATAGCATCAGCACTGCGGGGCAATGAAGATGGCGCGGCCGGCGACACTCCTGGCGCGGGACAGGCGCCGCTCAACTTCTTCCGCATGTTTCGCTTTGGCACGGCTACCGATAGCACACGAAGTGACAATGACGGGACCCACGGCAGCGGTTCCGCAAACGGCGCATCCGAAGGCGAGGAAGAAGGAGAGGGCAGGATGGTGCCTATCATTATTGTAGGCATCAGGTCAATACAGCCAGGCAGCGGCACCGGACAGGATGACGCCAGCATACCGCCCTTTCTCGATGCCCTCTCCAGCTTTCCCACCCCTCCTACCTCTCCCGGCGACGCAAACATCCTGCAGCCGCCACAAAACGGCACTCGCTTCAGCCATCGCCGCCGGGCCTCCATGGGCGGCTTCAACTTTCCCTCGAACCACGACGGTCAAAGACACCACCGCGGAAATGCCCAAGAGCGCCCTCGTCCTTGGTCGTCACTCACAGACTCGCCCCCGGGGCCTCAACCCCCTCCCTCGACGCCAGCTACCACCATGAATCTCTCGGCCGGCCCCTCGGGTGCCACGACGCCAAACACGTCCACCTCGCCTCCATCGCCCATCCTCCAGTCGGCCACGCCCTCTCGGCGAAACAGCTTTGTCCCAAGAGGCGCCGGATCCACGCTCGAGCCGACCGAAGAAGAACCGCAAACACAGCCGCGCAATGCACGACCCCGTCGCCTGAGCGAATCCGACTTTACACGATACGGATCTGGAGCGCCACGGAGAAGAGGAGTGGTGGAGCCGGACAACAACCCCGGCGAAGGGTCACGGAGCTGGATCATCTATGTGCTGGGCGGCAGCTACCCGGAAAATCACCCAATCCTGACGACGCCCAGCCTCTTCACCGACTCGCCGACATACGAAGACATGATGCTTCTCTCGTCGATATTAGGACCGGCAAAGCCGCCTGTTGCAAGTGAGGAGGACGTGGCTTCGGCACCCGGTCTGCTCAGGATCCGCGCAAACGGCAGTGTACTGGTAGCTGAGGCAGTCGAGGGCGAGGAGACGATTGATCTCGTGCCTGGAGCGCGCTGTCTCGTCTGCCTGTGCGACTTTGAAGCGGATGAAGAGGCACGCAAGCTCATCAAGTGCGAACACATGTTTCACAAGATCTGCATTGACCAGGTACGTTGGCCTTTGATGTCTGGACATTCAACATGACTAATGTGTTTATTTTACAGTGGCTGACTACAGGACGCAACTCGTGCCCTCTATGTCGCGGCGAGGGAGTCCACGAGACGGGCAAGGAGAGTGATGTCGAGCCTAGTGCTACTCCTCCTTCTCCTCCACCGTCGTTACCGCAAGCAGCTGCATGATGGGCTTAGAGATTATTTCTTCTAGAGTATGATTTGCCCGGACTTGTGCTCTCTCTCTCTCTTTTTTTTTGCGCGTTTCCATCTGCAATGACGAGAGGGAGAGAGAGGGAGTGCATGATTGCTCAGATTCTTGATATATACCCCCTATTCTTTTTCCTATTCTCCACCTCTCCTTTTCCTCATCTTTCCATCTCTGTCCATCTCCATCTGTTTTCTTCCCTTTTTTGTCAAACGGGGGCCTCGTTCTCTATTCTGTGCTCGATCACGGATGTGTGTGTGTGGGTGTGGGGGGGTTGTTGGACGGGACGTGAGACATGAAGTTTTTTTTTCCCCCTCCATTTGCAAATTTTCCTATCAGGGTTTCATATACGTTGGACTGTCATCTCTTTTTTTCCCATCATCCTGACATATACGCAACAAAGGGAGTGAAAGGAGTCTAACCTGTCTGTTTTTTTTTGGCATGTGAATTGTTTTTGCAAGAAAAAATCTCGATTGTTATCTTTTTGCATTTTCTGGCATTTATGCAATGGGAGGCGTGGGCATCTAACTGTATGGTCAAAGAGGGAAATATATGGCGTGTACGTATGTAGCTTTTTTTTTGCTTGTCCTCTCTGTCTCTCTCTCTCTTTTTGGGTTGTCTGTTTTCAGGGAAATACATAACGAGGTGTGGTAGTGGGAGGAATGAGAAGAGAGAGAGAGAGAGGAGGTGTGTGTATGGGGAGAGACGGGGGTTTTTTTCCCAAGCATGTGAAACGAATTTCCTTGCCAAAGTTTCTGGGTTTACAACCTTGACGTAGCAACAACGGCCGATGTGCGAATGCGAGTATCGAAGAAATGTCGAGAACAAAAAAGGTCCAGCACAAAAGAGGATTTTCGAAAGCAAGGAAACGGGAGGGAGTGAGGAGTTGTTATGGTGGTGTTGGTGTTGTTGGTGGTGGTTTTTTTTCCCATAGTTAATGACTAGACTTGCCTATTTATTTTGTGTGCCCCTCTTACCTTCCTCTCTTTACTATTCATTCCTCCTCCATTAGAAACCCCGCAGCGCACTAAACAACAAATGCATGTCACTTTCCCCCCCCCCCCCTTCAACTCTAGAACCCACCTTTATTCGTTTCCCCACCAAAAAAATCGATGTTTGCTACGACTAAGCAGGATTATTTTTTTTTCCAAAAAAAAAATCGGACTTTTTGGCAAACATTGGTCCGGGTTTAAACGCCTCTTTTTTTCGCTCACGCTTTTTAAACACAACCGTTGGTTTGCCATGGGTCTCCCCCCGTCTACTGTCTCCTCGGAACAAACACACACACACACACACATACACACGTGATCTATGCTATGCTATGAAGTTGTGGATTGGGATTCATGGGTTGAAATCTCCAGTACAAGAAAAACAAAAAGAAGGTGAAGTGAAAAAGGGGATGTCTGGGGGGGGGGGGGTGGTACGATGATGATGGTGACAATGGATGCTGGCAATCAAGTTATACTATGGATGTTGTATATGCACATGGGGGTGGGGAGTTATGACGTGGGGGGAGGTTTCGGTGGAGTTGGGTTGGGTTGGTGATCGGGGGGGGCACAAGGCACAGGGAACAGGGACAGGGACAGGGACAGGAGTGGAGATGCAGTGTTGGTTGGTGACTCGCTGAGATTTTTTTTTTCGCACCAACCAGGACGTGGCTGCGTGTGTAGATTGGACCTAAGGGAGACATCGGTGTGTAAGTAGTGTGTACTGTTTGATATTAAAGCTAATAGAGTAGAAATTGGCCCTAGGCAGTGAAGGGTCCTTTTTTTTTGGGGGGGGGTTTGCTTGGCTTGCCGCACTAAAAAAAAAGTGTTACAGCTGAATGGGAGTTTGCTTGCACTGGCTTTGCTTGACTTGTCCTGAGCTAAGCTGTCTGTCCTGCGTACGTGCCTGATCATGTATGGTAGTGAGTGTATTACAATATCAGAGCCATCATTCGCTGGCCGGTTTTACTTGCGGCTTTTTTTTGTACCATGAATTTCCCTGGTTTCTTGGCACACGAAAAAAAGACGGGCCTGTCTGTCTGTCTGTCTGTCGGTATAGTAAAAGATACGTATGCGAGTACGGTTTGCTTGATTGAGGGCTAGTGGGGAAATTTGAAGTTTAATTCCCCACTTTTTGCGAGGACATGGACATGGCATTCTATAAATGTAACTGGTATAGTGTATTTCCATTCCATGTACAATTATCTATCGGTACTACAAAGGCACAGCCAGGACATATTTGGGCCGTGTCGGAAATTGCAAAAGGCTGGTTTGGGAAACAAGGACGTCAACAGAGAGCGGGGGCCGATCCCGTTGTCAATAGCAAAGGATTTTATGGCGAGGTTCCAGGAGTGTGCGCTCTGGGTTGCAAGCAGCAGCAGTAGCAGTAGTAGGAAAAAAGGGCCTGGCCAAGGAGAGCCGCCATGTGGACTTTTGGTCGGGGCTCTGGCCAGTTAGTGTGTTCGCAGAGACGGTCCGCGGACGGCGACTTGGGTGAGTGAGACAAAGTGGAGAAGGGTCGATAGTGGCCATGGCACGGCAGATGGAATATGACGTTTGGTGTCCTGGGCAGCAGACATGTGACGGGCAGCAGCTGGTGTGCAGGCGGAGCGAAGGGGTCCTGCAGGCGTCCCCAAAGGTCGGACCAAGTTGTTTTTTCTCGGTGGTCAAGTTGCTTGTTTGTGGACCGGTGTAGGGAAGGTTGTGGGTGAGGTTGTGGGCGGTGCAGGTCCAAGCGCTTGGAGAGAGGGAGTGGGAGGGCAGGAAGGGCTGACCCTGTCGACGACACGTGGGGCTGACTGTGCCGTAGCCGCGGAATTGGAGTGTTCCGACCTGTATCTCACCAACTAACCATGTACCGCCATCACACACATACATACATGCCATTCATTCATTCACACTGCCACATTCTCACACACACCGACATTGACGCGCTTCATGTGGCGACGCCATGCGCCCGCCTCTTGTGCCGTAGCAGCAGCAGCAGCAGCAGCAGCAGCAGCAGCAGCACCAGTAGGACCACCAGCACCGGCTCCAGTAGCAGCACCACCAGCACCGCACCAGCACAGCACCAGCAGGCTTCCAGGCTGGACCGGCCGGCCGCTCGCTCGGTCGCTGGGGTCATGCAAGATGGGCACCCTCAGCACAGGGTGCTTGTCGAGCCCGTCAGACGCTGGCTGGCTGCACAGTGACTGCATGCTGCAAATGACAATGCCGTGTCCGTGATGCGTGGCGCACGGCACTCGACCACTCAGGGGGCAGCCGGAGCAGCCATTGCGGCATCCGCTGCCCGTCCGCATCCGGCCTAGCGCCAAAACGTGACATTGGACGTCTGCCCTCTGCCTCTCCTTCTGCCTGTCGCTCTTTGTCCCTGGTCGGGAGTCAGCCAGACCAAGGCCCATGACGATATCTCCCCCTAGCTTCCCCATGGTCTGACGACACTAACCAAGTCGACTCGCTCTACCACCCATCATACTCTATTCACGCTGCTCTGCTCCAGACAATCTACTCGACTCGGCGCTGCCCTGCCGTGCAAATTGCCACTAGGCCGGCCAGAGTGGGCAATTCGGAATCCTCATCATGCCACTTGCTTCCCGCCGCATGCCTACATACACGTACATATGTACCTCCTGCCACTCTTCTACACAAGCAGTACACACCTACCAAGTATCCCGCCTGACGCCCGTCACGCCACGGGGCTCCGGCCTAGAGTTCACGTCCATCTAAGTATGCATGTATCTATGTATGTAATCATCATGTGCGTCCACTATGTCGTGGTAAGAGTGCTGCCAGTGGCCCGCAGTTGGCAATGCTGCCACCTTCTCGAAGCAGCCCTCCTTCTCCCGCGCGCCCGCGCGCCCTGGTTGACTCAGGCCCGGTGGCTGCAAATATCCACCCGTCTTTTTATAACCTCGCACATTGATGAGGCTTGAAAGTCTAAGTAGAGGCCGCCCGCCGGGCAATTGCTCTGCACTGCATCGGCCCAATCCCCACTTCAGGCCAGCAGTGGGGGAGCCCATGGCATGCATCCTTAGTAAACTAACCACTTACTTGCCTCCTTGTACCATGCCTGTCCATACCCAACCACAGCCTTACTTACCTACAGTACTAGTATATATACGGTCTATACGTACTTACACATGTACATGTCTGTATCTCGACATACATACATGCCCAGTCCATGTCCATCCATCCATCCATCCATCCATCCATCCATCCATCCATCCATCCATCCACACGCACTGTGACGACGACCTCGACCTGCAGCACGCGTCGCAATCGCTGCGACGCCACTCACCCATGGCTGACTTGAGCAATGAATGAGGGAGGGGGCAGCTGGGAAAGAGGGGGGAGCCCTTTTGGTGCGGGCCCCACTATGCCGCCCTCACCACCCTGGTGGTGGATTGGGACTTGGGGCTGGCGCATATCATGTCCGTCTTGGTGCTGTGTCGTGCCCTTAGCTCGATCCGTCTGCTGCAAAGGCGATCCTCGACCCTCTTGGATTTGCAATTGCTCCATAGCTGGCGACATGGCTTGATTACCCACGCCGCCCACTGCCCACAGTCCTCTAGCAGCAGCCAGCAGCCGTCACAGCAGCCGTCACAGCAGCCGTAGCAGCAGCGGCGGGCTGCACGCCTAACAAAATGCCCTGCTCTAGCCGTACATACGTACTTAGTCCACAGGCTGACAGGCGGGGATCACCGCCGGGGATGTGTCAAAATGGGCCGCATCTGATGAACTGTATGTACTTAGATACTCATTCGGACATGGGACTACTTATTGCTCGGAGCGGGCAGACCCCTTGGTTGCTCCGTCGCCAGTTGCCCTGCTCTTACCTGCCCTCCCCTGCCCTCCCCCCCCCCCAGACTTGAGGTGGCTGCAGTCGGTGGGTGGACCTGTTTGCACGGCCTGGGAGTGGCCCAGAGCGATCAGTCCTGGGATTCCAGCGCTGCGCGGAAGGCGGAAGCGTTTGCGTGCACGGCCCACAGCGGCCTGGAGACCAGCGCAGTGAGCTTGGGGCTTGCTTTTTCCCCTTCACTGCACCCCGGCTTCTCAGATGCGGACGTTTGATGAACCTCAGACTATCCCTTCCTGGACATACACCATTGCTTCTTCCCAGGACTAGACACACGCCTCTGCTCTCGCTCGGGCCGGCTCTCTGCTCTGCCTGTCTCTCTCTCTGTCCACCGACCTTCGCCCTCTTCGCTCTAGCTCCAACTTCTCTGTCTCTTTTTTTTTTTCATATTTCTCATACCATCTTTCTCAGTTTATCGCTCTTGCACAACCTTGAACCTGCGCCCCCTGCTGTGCTTCCTCTCTACCAACACTCATCACTTCCTCCCCCCTGTCTCTCCCTCTCTCTCTCTCTCTCTCTCCCCACTCTCCCCCTTCGCCGGCCCCTCACTCCCCCCTTTTTTTCTGGTCCCAGATTGGTACTGCATATGCCTCCATTGCCAGCCTTTTCTAGTGTCGCGCAGTCTACCTGGTCCCGTGTGTGGCCATCACTCAGGGTTACCGGAGACGTAGTTGAACCGCCTGTCCTAGCTGCTAGCTGGGGGCCTGCACCCGCGCGCCCAAACCAGCCTGCATTAGACTAACCCACGGCTCCGGCAAGCCTACTCCTACTTCTATATCCTTTCACTTTCCCGTACCTGACGCCCGAGCCATTGTCACACCCGTTGACACGGCGATCGACCTCGGACCCAGACCCTTGCACCCGAATGACGCTGGCCCTCCTCCTGCAACCACTATCCTCACCAATCTTCCATCATTGCCACCGCATTCTCTTGCCCTCTCCCTCACTGCGCAGTCTCTCCCACCCTCGTCCCTCGTAAGACATGTCTGGATACTACCCCCCGCCAGGCCATAGTATCCCGCCCCAATACTACAACATCGACCACAACTCCATTCCCAACAATAACAACGGCAATAACAACAATAACAACAACAACGTTCAGCATGCCCCGCAGACGATGATCGGACATGGTTCCTATCCCATGGCCATGCCAGACAACCCCTTCCAACCAGGAGCTCCCGGACCTTTTGTGCAATACGAAAACATTGGTCAGCCCAGTTATCCTGATCAATATGATGATGCATCTGGCCCCATCGGCTCAGTCCATGCTGCCAACAGCCGCGCGCGTCGCCGACCCGCGCCTGGCGAGCAGGTAAAGCACCGCAGAACACGAAGCGGATGCTTTACCTGCAGACAGCGTAGAGTCAAGGTATGTGGCCTTTTCTCTCTCTCTCTCTCTCTATCCACTTGCGCCAAATGGCCAGCGCGATTGACATGTAGCAGTGTGACGAAAACCATCCCGTCTGCGAGAGTGAGTGCTTGCTTCTGCCTCTGACTCGTTGAAACAGGGCTTGATTTCTGACAGCGTTCACCAGGGTGTCACAAGGGAGGTCGCGAATGCGTCTATCCCGACTCACAATCCAGTCAGAAATCTACCCGCAGCGGCTCCAAATCTGCAAAGTCTTCATCTGCCGACAACATTTCGTCGCCCGAGGACCGTGAAGAAGAGGCCAAGGAACGCTTGCCATCCATAAGGGACGAAGATGAGGAAGAAGACTACGTCGACTATGACGACGACGACACGTCAAGAAGCCAAGACAACCGCGACTCGTCTTACACCCCTGGCTCGAACCTCGACCAGAGTGTCTCCCCATCGACCGAGGCCTCATCCACTGTCCCGCCCACTGTACGGCCATCACTGTCCCGGAAAGGAAGTGCGCAACCCACGAAGCCCGCCCAGGGCTCGACCCGAGACCTCCAGTTCTATCTCAACTACTTCCGCAACCACATGAGTGTCCATCACTACTCGCTCAAGCGCGACACACGTGGCTGGCTCAAAGGCGATTTTATGCATTGGGTTATGAAGTTTGAGCCTCTCAAATATGCCGTTGCAGGATATGCTGCATATTTCCATACCCTGTCCCAGCCCGACGGTCGCATATCCACATTTCTCCAATTTTACAATGAGTCGGTCTCGCGCCTGCGCATGGCGATTGAGAAGAACAAGAAGCAGGGTCTTGCTACTTTCTTGACCATACTGCAGCTGGCAAGCATAGAGGTAAGGGCAGTATTGTCGGACTGACGTCACTCTTCTAATAGGATAATAGGAAATGCTTGGTGACTGGGTCAATCTCATGGGCCACCAGAAAGCTGCATTTGACATGCTCACACGCCTCTTTACACCACAGAGCATCACAAAGTCGGATTTCCTGTCCAAGGTACTTCTTTGGTACGTTCGATTCGATCTATTTGTAGGCTTCCAGTCGGGCGGAGAGGCAACATTGGGCAGGGAATGGTATGTCGCTGCCCACGAATCATACGTCCAAAAAGTCAAGGAAAACCCAGACGACTTGGGGATGCAGTACGAAGAGCGCTTTGCGTATTCCCGGCTGGTAGCAAAGGACTCGAACGATCTCTTTGCAAGGGCCAGTAAAGGACTGCTTAGTCCTCAAGAATTCATGACCCAGCTGCCCGCGCTTCAAGAAAGAATGAAATCCTTGCCGAAATGCATTCCGCAGGTTTTACTGGATCCAAGCCACAAGGTTCACAGCATCCCTGGAACCCTGGATCCCGACGACATCACCAATCCTTACGAACCAGACATCATTTGGGGTGGACCATTATGGACGACGAATTTCCTATACATGGACATGTGGGGCCTCCAGTTCATGTATGCCATATCGTCGTCTATGGCGTTGAAGCAGCCCATAGATCCCGAGTACAATAGATTGGCGTATCAAGCAGTACAGATGTTTGAAGCCATGTGCGCCTATCCAGACGCGCCTCCAGGCGCCCTACTAGAGGCTCAAACCAGCTTTGCGATTGCCGTCTTGTTTCTGCCCAAGGACCCAAAGACCATACAGTGGATTCGTCGGACGTTTACCAAGATTGAAGCATCAGGGTAAGCACAACCTGCCCCCTTCAAGAGGTTGGGAATTGTTGGTTCCTGCAAGAGGTAATCCTGGCGCATGTTTCACTATGCTTACACGACTTTAGATACATCTACTCTGACGTTCTCCGTAACCGTATGCTTGAATCCATGGGGGCACCGCCATCAGATTGGTGGCTCCCCGACGACGAAGGGTGCCCCCCTATTATTCGCTCAATAAAGGACTTTATCAAGGACCGCACGCAGGCGCCAAAAGATCAAGTCTCCGAGGACTTGCGCGAGATGCGCGGTGTTTTCAATTCGCTCACCATATCCGACTCGCCGACGTCTGACAACATGACGGTCACGAGTGCCGACGGCTTGGGCTCTGCATACGGCTCTCCAGATTGGCAATCGGGCTACGGAAGTGATCGGAAGTCGTCCATCGCGGAGAGTTGCTCGCCTGGTGTACCAAATCAATACTCTGTATAGTAACGTGGCTTACTCGCATGAAGCTACCTGCGCTATCAAGACGCTTGCAATGAAGCAATTGGGAGGCGTATGTTTTGTTGGTACCAAAAGACGCTTATCGGTCTGCCCATGTCTCTTGATGCAGCGCCTGTGTATATCACAATAGAGGACATGTTCTACCTGAAACACTCTACTCTTATGGTCTTCCCGGAGTTGTACCGCCGGTCATGTCTCCCGAGAGGCGTCCTGTCACACACTGGCTGGCAAGTGCAACTGGGCTTGCGTGGACGAGACGTAATGGCTTGCCTTGGTATCACATCTCAGGGCCACGATCCCCCCGGGAAGCTCACTACAGAAAAGGAAGAATGGAGCGAAAGCGGGGTCCACTTATGCGGTGTGATTGCTGCGGGTCATGCTGGGGCGCACGTTAGTTTTAACATCGGACGGCGATCGGGTGTTGGAGGTTCCCTACCTACCAGATTACGAGTATGGAGAGGCCAAGCACCATGTACATGCATGGGCATGGGCATGGAAAGTTTATTCACAGGCACGAGGAGAATGACTCGCGCGGCGGATGGAAATGTGCGCAGAATCCAGATGCAAAGCTTAAGAAGCCTCCACATATGGTCGCCGTTTATGAAATACGAAGGGCTGTGAGGCATTTGCACGGCATCAGTAACCGTGTACAATCAAAAGCGGATTGACCAAGGATTCGAAATCCCAAGCTTGCATGTGATGGCTACTAATGATCTATGACTTTATATTTCTAGCAATCAAGGACATTATTCATGGCGCAATTTCTCCTCTCTCTTACATGGCACCGCATCCAGCTGCAGATTGTTGATCGGAACTGCTTTTGGTCAGCAATGCAGTTTCAGGCATTTGCATGCAGTCTACATGACTCCTGTATCACTCCCTGCTATAGGGTTAGTGGTGGTGAGACAACCAGTGGGGCCAAATATGTATACATTTCCCCTGTGGCGTGCTGATCTTTTATCGGCGTGTCTTTTTTTATTTTTTTGAACAAAGCATCTTTTAGCGGAACTCACAATAGCATCCCATGCTCAGTAGGGGATGGTGGTTTTTATGAAGCACATACTTACGTACAGCACGATAGCCAAGTATTACTTTTGTGATAATGGTAGCATGACGAGAATGAGTACTGTTCAACATTCTCTGTCTGAAATTATACACACTTCAGCACATGGATCGAGGAAAAACACATGCATTGTAGAGTATTTGTCCAGGCAAAAGGGTCGATATGGTCCCAAACAGGACTAGTGCAATGCAGGGCTCATGCGCCGCCCTGACAGCAACGGCGGCGGAGAACACATGAAAGTCGTAAGAGCACGACAACAGCCACGCCCCGCCCTCGACAACAACCACGAGCAGAGTCTTGATATATCGTAACCCCGCTACACCGCAATGGAAAACCTTGGCAAGATTTCGGCGTTCGGAAAGAACATTTCGTATGTACAGCCCCGCGCCCCCCTCGCCGCTTGCCTGCACCCCAGCACCTGATAGGAGCACTTGGACTGACACGGTTGCTACAGCGCTACCTTTACCCCCTGGGCTGCCCGAACACAGCAATATGTCAAGGAGCAGGTTGGCAATGTCGAGGACAAGGTGCGCAGCCTCCCGATTGAGTCCGTGTGCTATCTCACGAGGGCATCCGCGCTGTAGCAAAGTGCACCATTAACACGGCTCATGACAGACTCAACTGCCTCCGGACTACATTGAGCTCGAGAAGCGAGTCGATGCGCTGAAAAAGGTGCACACGACTATGCTTCAGGTCACGTACGACACCTCGTATTTCGCCTAGAAACCATGTCCTGACTGCCTAGTTCACAATACGCAAACGAAGCCTACGACTACCCAGCCAACATCCGCGAGTCCTTCAACGACCTCGGCCGAACCGTCGCAGAAAAGGTCAATCTGCTCTCGAGCGCTACATCGCCCGCCGAAGCCCAGGCGGCTCTTACTGCCCCTCCCTCGGCAAAGCCCCAGCCCAAGACTTTCAGCCATGCTGTTGCCCGCGCCGCCCTGAATGCCTCGCACATGCTCACCTCTGAGCAAACGTCGTCAGGCGAGGACCCGCTCGCTACTGCCCTTGAGAAGTATGCCATTGCTAGTGAGAAGGTTGGCGAGGCACGTCTGGCGCAGGACGCTCAGATTCAGAGCCGCTTCTTGGCTGGGTGGAGTACCACGCTCAACACCAACATTCAGTTTGCCACACGCGCCCGCAAGGCTGTCGAAAACTCGCGACTGACACTTGATGCGACCAAGGCCAACGCCAGGGGACCTGCCTTTACCCTCCCTGGTCAACCCGCCAAGAAGGATAACCTGGATGATGACTTGACCGAGGAGGCAAGAGCAAAGATTGAGCAGGCTGAGGACGAGTTTGTTGGCCAGACTGAGGAGGCTGTTGGTGTCATGAAGAATGTAAGTTGTGAAACTGTTTTGGTCTGAGATACATTTACTGACTTTTTTTTCTCTTTTTTCTTCTTGACAAACAGGTCCTTGACACTCCGGAACCACTCCGCAACCTTGCTGACCTCATTGCTGCCCAACTCGAGTACCACAAGAAGGCATACGAGATTCTATCCGAATTGGCACCCGTTGTTGAGCAACTGCAGGTTGAACAGGAGGTGCGTAGACACCAGTCGTCTGACTTTTAGGTTCCCTTCCCCCAGCTGATGCGTTGTGGTGATTAGGCCAGCTACCGTCGGGCTCGTGAAGAGTTGTAAAGTGATGTTGATGTAAGGGGAGGGGGGGGAGGGTATTGGTGAGATTGGAGAGGGTGTAGAAGTGAGGGAATGGATGAATACAGTATCATGGAGGGGAGATTGTCTTGGTATTGGCTTTTGTCCAGCGCAGGATCTCGTTGCCAACAAAGGATAGGGTCTAGTTGTGGTATGAAATGATTAGTCGTTTTATGACTTTTGAAATATTTTGCTCTCTCTCTCTCTCTCTCTCTCTCTCTCTCTTCCTCTTCTATTTTACTTGTGTGTGTGCGTGTTTTTTACATTGTTCCTCTATTCAATAACCCCACTCTCATCCTGAAACTGAGCAGCCTGCCTCTTAGCAAACTCGCCCACCCCCTCGCCCTCCCCACCTTCATCCTCGGGAATAAACTGCCTCATAACCCTCTTCACATACTCCTCGGGCACCCCACACTTGACCGCATCCTCGATCCCCCGATTCATCCTATACACATACTCGTCCCTCGGCACTCCCGGCACCACCCTCTCCCGATCAATATACACGAGCACGCGCTTATCCGTCTCGCTGGGCGCATCGCCGACATTGATTTTCTCGGCGGGAGACGCACTGGGCCAGAATGTGCAGCCGAGGTATTCCTTGGTGTAGGCGACGGGCACGCCTTCGTTCTTGTCGAGCTGGCGCTCGTCGTCCGGTGTGAGCTTGAAGACGAGGCCGTACACGTGGTCTGAGGGTGTGCTGGATTCGACTATGTTGGCGTAGCCCCGTTCGTTTATCATCCATTTGTACTTGGCTAGCCGTGCGATGCCTACGTATGTCGATGAGGGGCAGCGCGTCGTCATTTGGTGGAGCCAGAGGTTGGAGCCGTAGCCGAAGTAGATGGTTGGGGGGTTGGAAGACATGTTTCTTTTTCTTTTCTTTTCTGGGTCGAGGTGTTGGGTTGGAGATGGTGATGGGCTTTTCCGGTTTAGAAGGTGTTTGAGATATGGAGACTTTGTTTAATCTTTCTTTTTCCTTGGATGCTTTGTCCTAGGGTGTTTGGAATTGCGAGAAATTGTTCTGTTTAATTGGCTTTTTTTTTTCTCTCTCTCTTCTTCTTGTACATGTATCGTTGATGTTCGCTGGGCTCCTGCTATTCAAATGGCTGATGACCGTCACAATCCCAGGAAATGTGAATGCCGTTTTCCAAGAGCAATTTCAATTCCTACACGAATTCCAGTATGATTCTATTCTTTGGTAGACTAGATTTGACGGCTGTAGCGTATCGTCCGGCTCCAGGACGGATTTCACCAAGCACGCGGGGTCATCTATCAGAATCTGATTGTGATTAGCCATGGATACGTAGTGCTCGCTCGCAGCCTTCTCGTGTACCTTGCAACTTTAAGATTGGCTTGTAATATTTTTTTTTACAACCATATCCCGGATGCAACACGGTCACGGTACATGAATTGAGGTGGCACGGTAGTCAGTCAGATACCTCGGGGCGATGTCAACCCACATGCCGAACAAAACCGACGAATCGGCGTTGAAGGATTACACCACGCTTCCTCTTCGCGACGACGACCACATGCGGGAAGAGACGCGAGACACGGCTGCTAGCAAGTATGCGGCCAGTCTGTAAACCACCTATATCAGGTCGCCTCTGTCACGTTGAATCATGTTGCGCAGTCTTTAGTGCGGTGGCGTCGATAGGAGAACGCGTCTTGGTGCAGCGTCGAGTCACATTTACTACTACAATTTTCCCAACCCAGAAGCTCAACCGCGACAATAAACCCAACCATGCCATACTCACATCACAGTCACTCTGGCCAGTTCTGTAGCCATGCAAAGGACACGCTCGAACAGGTCATCCAGGCAGCCATAGCCAAGGGCTTCCACACCTTTGCGCTAACAGAGCATATACCCCGGCCAATCGAAGACTTCTACCCCGGAGAAGCTGAGTCGTACACGGTTGAGAGCCTTGCCAAGCTATTCGACGACTTCATAGTCGAAGCCAACCGGCTGAGGGATAAGTACTCGAGCCAGATACAGATCCTGATTGGCTTTGAATCAGAATGGATTCGTCCGTCGACCCTGGAGCTGATTCGGAGCGTCCGCGAAAAACATGCATTTGACTTTTTCATGGGCTCTGTCCACCATGTCCATACGATTCCCATCGACTACGACCGCAAAATGTACGAGCAGGCGAGGGACAAGGCGGGCGGGACAGACGAGAGGCTGTTTGAAGACTATTTCGATTCTCAATGGGAGATGCTGCAGGCGCTGCGGCCCCCAGTCGTCGGGCACCTCGATCTCATCCGTCTGCTGAGCGATCACCGCGACGATGGGTTCAAAGGCATGGCTGGTGTTTGGCAAAAGATCGAGCGAAACCTGGCATTCATTGCTTCATATGGCGGTCTGCTCGAACTCAACTCTGCCGGCTTGCGCAAAGGTCTGGCCGAGCCGTATCCGTGCTTGCCAATATGTCAGGTCAGTCACACCGCCATCTGCCCGAGCTCGGCGGCGAGCTGAACATGAACTGATTTGGGGTCGTTTATAGATGTTCCTTCGCATGCGAGGCGGTTTCGTCATGTCTGACGACAGCCATGGAATCGATCATATTGGCACAAACTATGCGCGGCTCCTTGCCTTCATCCAGACTGTAGGGACTGACCGCATACACTACGTCGAGCGGGCCGAGCAAGGCAAAGACACTCGCTTTGCTAGCATTGCTCTGACCGACCTGGTGCAGTTGCCGTTTTGGGAGAAATCAAACTGAAGTTGGCTTCGTCGTGGCCCGACTTTTGGTGCGCCGCTGACGAGGGTTCGCTCTTGTGCTGAACGTTGCGGGTCTTACGACCGGAGCAATAGCCTTGCGGAACCTTGCGCAACGGTGGTTTTAGGGTACCTACTACATTACAAGCAATGCGCAACCTTTTCATTGGACATGTTGGAGATGACAATCGTCGGCTCGTATTCTTGCTGGCTGCAAGTGGTTTAGCACCTGTCCTGTAGCTTGACTTTGGCCACGTGCTTAATGTTCACGATGCTGCACTCCATATGCGTGGGGGTGATCACTTCTCCACGACTCAGCCGCCACTGCAAGCCCACCTCGTCTAGCCAATACAAAGACTGCATTGCTCCCGGACCGTATCGTTGGGCTCCCGACTCAGCGCACAGGGCTAAAGATCGTCTTGTCCGTAGGTTACAAGGCGGGCTGAAGAAGGCCATGGCAAAGGCACGGTCGAAAAGACCACGTGTAAATGGCCATGGCAATTGCTCTTCAGCCCCACGCTACCCGTGCCTGGTTTTTTTCCCTTCAGGGATGTGAATTTCGCGTTTGCCGCGAGAAGCACGATAGCCCGCTGCTCCGCATTTGGCTGTTTTGCAACGCCAGACGCTACAAACACGATTGTTCCCCGGGTGGGTCTAGCACCGCACGGCAACCGGCAGTGCTGCCGCTTCTACTGTGATTGGCAAATGTCCAGAGACATGCCACCCGCGAGATGATTAGGGTTTGTTGGGCCCCTTGGCCTCACGGTTTCGACAAAGGGATTTTGGAGCGGCACATGGGGGTGAATGCGAATAATGATGATGAGCCATTGTGTTCGTCATTCCAGCCTGTGAGACATAAACGCTAGATTCTTGAGGCCATGGGGTTGCGTACTTGTTAAACTAGTCTACCTAATATACGTAAGTAATACGGCCAGTCGCCCCGTGAAATGGACCGAACATTGCTTTTTTTAAGCAAACGGTCCTGCATTTTCCCTAAATCCGATGTTAGCTTTGTTCACTCTGAAATCTACTAAAATACTACAAGACCGCCAGTTGCCTTCTCGGGCCTCGAGTAGTCAGGGGGACTCGCACTGGTGCGGGTTTGGCTGCCGAATCACATCCTATACAACTTGCGGTAGTAGCTTATTCGTCAACGACTTAGCCCTACGGCGTTTATAGGCGCTTTTCCTTTTTTTTCAGGTCGTGCGACTTTCTGGAGAGGTACAGTGTCGGCCTTTTTCTTGCGCCCATCCCTCCGTTCCTCCATGCAGGATTAAGGTTTTAGAGTCGTGCCGTGCATTCTTTGTGACGAAGAGCGTCTTCGTGGTGACAGTCACCGCACGTTGCGGCCTTTGACAATTGTAGCCTTGCACCCCACTAAGGAACCCTTTGTCCCCACCCTTGCTTCCTTTTTGTCCCATCATCCTAGTTGGTCACGTCCTCAAGATCATTCCTTATCCTACCACGGCCCAAAAATAATTTTGAATGTCTTGCTTTTTTTTTTCCCTTCCGCGTGGATGCAGGGTCAGCCGCCGCGTCGCTGGGCAAACGGCGGTGTTGGAAAGCCGTCATGCTGCTCGGTAGTCGCGGGAAAAGTTGAGGAACGGGTACAACCATCGACCATGTTAGATGTGGAGCCCACATCGCGTGTCAGCCAGGATGTTGCAGATGACGAACCCATTCAAAGGGCTAGACCAACCTTACAAACTTCTGACATCCAAAACGGCTCGAGCGTCGGGTAGGATTCCCCGGGAGACAGTCAGGTTCTTATGGCGGCTGTGGTTCGTAGCCCACAATTACCTTCGAGCCGAAGCTGTGGAACGGATGCGTATGCGAAGGGGGGCTAAAGGGTATGCTGGACGGATCGGAGCAGGCCAATCTATCCCATAGCTGTGCTGCAAACCCCCGGACTGCTTTTTTTCTTGTCAAAGCAAAGACCATTCATTAAGCCTAAGCTTTTTTGCCAAAGCATACACGGAGCATCTTCCTTAAAGCACCACCACACCTTGCGCCTGCTATTAAATCTTTGCCTTGTCCACTTCCTCACGCACTTCTTGTTTTCTGCACTCCTCTAGCTCCTTTTTTCTCTTCATCATAACTAGACTTGACCAACGTTCGACTTTTTGTCCACGCTAGCATCCCGCCCGTTACAACATACTTGCGCCCCCAACGCCACACACGAACATAGCACATTCTTTTTACACTATGGGCGTCGAGAAGATTGTTGCCAAACCAGGCAATGGAACAGACTTCCCCAAGAAGCACGACGAGATTTGTGTTGAATACACCGGTATTTCTGCCAGCATCCACACGTCAATGCCAAAATCTGACCAGGGTTGCAGGATGGTTGTACGATGACGAGGCACCAGACAACAAGGGAACACAGTAAGTAGATTGGCAACGTGTACGCCTTCACATGGACCTGGGGCATCCTGCTAACCAAAATGCTAGATTCGACACATCAATAGGTCGAGGCGATCTCACGACTCTAATCGGCGCAGGCCGAGTCATCCGAGGTATGCGCCTTGCAATCCTGACCAGCCCGGTCCACACATGCCAAATGGCAAATTGAGGTGTGCACGTCAACTGACTCCAACATGCAGGCTGGGACGAGGGCATTTTGGGGTCCGAGGATATTCCCCCCATGTCGTTGGGTGAGGTAGCAATCCTCAAAATCACATCGTAAGTAGTTTTTGCGGGTACACCACTTGCATGTATTTTTGCTAACACCATGTGCAATACAGTGACTATGCTTATGGCGCTCGGTAAGTCCGATTTGTGTGCACTTCATACTTGATGAGCCCGACCGCGGGATCAAACCGAACGACCGGCCTCCCACGGCCGCAGAAGCGGCCGACACATGCCACAAGGCTCGGAGCCTGGACAAAACTCCAACGTTTTGGTTTTCTGTGTACCCCAAAATGAACATACCGCTGTAGCCGCTGGTCTGGCATGACTAGGATATCAGCAGCCTCCAATTTCTCGTCTCGGAGCCATATCGCTAACTGTCCTGATCATAGTGGTTTTCCTGGACACATCCCCGCAGATGCAACATTGATCTTGTAAGCACCCAATCTTTTTTTTTCTTCTTTTATCATCTCCGGAACAGTCTCCGCGCCACAAACACCTATCTTCGTGGTATCTGGCAACTGCGTTGTTCGCTTGACCAACACACAGCTCACCTTCCGTCCTTCTACCCATGTCAACTACTACGGCAGAATTGCTGGGGCGCCGAATCAGAAAAGACTGACGAAATGACAGTGAAGTTGAACTCAAGTCCATCAACAGGAAAGGGGAATAGATCGTTGGCCTCCTTTCCCCGATACAACGTTTTACGCCGCCCTTCTTCACACTCTGTTCGACATATACCCCGTTGCCACCCGACCCATTTTTTTTTTCAGCCTGCCATAGCTCACCATTGTGACCTTCTGGAACGACTCTAGCGCCTCCTCCCACGAGCCCAGTCCTCTTGTACCATGTGCTTCATCGGGGCGAGGGGGGGGGGGGGGGGGGGGGGGGGGAAGCAAAGGAGCTTTTGCGCGCTTTATGCGGCAATCACGGGCAAAAGGTTTAATATCTTATTTTCTGTACACGACGATTTACGCAAATATGCCAGATTTCTTGGCCCCCGCTAGGAGTTTGGCGATTGGATAAAAGCAAAGCTCGTCTCGTTCGGCAGGTGTAATGCTAAGCAATCCATTGTAGATGGAGGGCTATGCATGCAAACATGGGCTACCTGCATGTATAGATTTGTTCCAAGAGCGGCCCAGCGTTCTAGTTTTTGAGCCTGATGAGTCTATGCATTTACTTACTGCGTAATGGGCCAACTTTGCTTCTTCATCCTACGTTCTGTTTCTTGCAATATCTTTGGTCGGAATTATTCTTCTTTGCTTCCTTCTAGTATTAGTGCACATGTATAGAGCACGATATATGCGGATGAATTCTGCACATAGTTCCATTTTTTCCCCCAAATACCTGTAATCCAATAATGCTAGCACTGTCTCAGACTGTTACTCTATTCCTAATCGAAGTCCCCTAGTACCCAAAGGCTTACAGCCGGGCCATATAGAAAAAAAAGACTCAAGGAGAACCCGCCCGTCTGGTATGCATGTAGTGTAGGCTACGCCTGACGTCGAATCTGACGGACGCTGATTCTCGGCTGAAACCAAGGCAACCGATATAATCCCATCACTATAGTGCACACCGACACTCCGTCATCTCGAACCCTCACTGGCCGGGTGCTGCCGAATCTAACCACACAGTCTTACATCGGCATACCGAGGCTTGGCCGGAGGACTCGGGAGCCCACACGATTCCTGTTGGGTGGCGGTAGAGGCGGCTTGCGCATAATCCGGCAGTTATCCTGCTGTGTAACCGAAGCATTCAGCCTTGGCCCATAATATTATACTCGACTACCGCGGTATTCCCGCAACTCGAGGGGGCCGTTCGCCTAGTACTCGTCTGGGCCCCAGAGGCCAAAGTAGGCTGCCTATTTAATTGTGGCTTGCAGCAAAGCCACCAGACCAAGAATGCTCCTATTTGCTACTTTTTTGCCATATGCTGTGCACGTTGGGCTCAAGGATAAACTTTGTTTTTTTCTTGGATGACGCTATTTACTTGTGCATCGCGATATCTCATGAAGGATCTGGCATACGCGCCTATAAGTGTCAGCGTCATCATCATCATCAGTGTTGATTGTGACGCTCGTTTAGACCAACATATGACCCGAATGCATGAAGGAGCTGATGGGGCAAGCAAGTAACAATTGGTCCGTTTCAAAAGTGCATTATCAGAGTACCCATTTGCTCACCGGCTGCGGGCCGTTGCCGTTCCACACACACCCACACACACACTCCTCTCTTTATCTTATGGCTTTTCCCTTCAGCATCGGGAACGGGGACGGCTCTCTAGGTCTTACATGACTTGCAAAGAAAGGGAACGAGCTCCGACGACAAGAAGCGGAGTATGTTACGATATTTCGTTCTATTGCGGACACAGCTGCATAGACCATAAGCCTAGAACGTTTCCATTGTGCTCGAGCGGCCTGGTCTCCGCGCGGGAAGGATCTCCACTGGGGCCAGAAAGTGGGTGAACAGGAGCGTACTGTTACGTAGTCAGCCTTGGCCAAACCCGCCGCCTTGGGAAATTCTTGTACCCCATTTGCGACAAGCAACCCACCCACCCAGCAAATTTTTTTTCTTCAAGGATTACCGGGCGGTTGTTTGGAAATATATATATATAAAATGATCGAGTCAACTTTATCTTTTTCTTGCCCGAGTTTTGGACCGAAAGTGTTACTAAAACCGGTGGTATTGGCTCATGCAAGGTGGAGCAAATGCAATGTGACATGCAATTGCGTACATAGGAAAACGCGCACATGGGATAGTAATGGAATAAAAAGAACCCATGTCGATTGCCTTTTCTCGCGCGCTTCCCAGCCAAACCTGAGTTCCACCAGGGTGTACCCACACGTGGTAGGATGGGCCGGGGAAACAAAGTGGCAAGGTTGCTCTTTGGGAACTTTAAATGGTTTGTTCAAAAGAGTGACGTTGGGGCGAAGGTTCGCGCTCTAGTCGAGCCAGGGCAACTTGCATCACACGTCTTGCATGGGTCCTGTACGCATACGCATCCCCCTAGCCCTTCGGGATTTTTATTTTCTTGCATTCTCAATCATGCCGCACTAACATCTATCCTCTGATCATGCGACTCGACCCCCATCTGCAGGCCAACACAGGCAAAGCCCCCTCTTGCTGTATATACGCCGAAGCTCGTAGAGATTTTTTTGGTGGTCACGGCCCAACCTCGTGTATCGATTTTGAAGTAGCGTCGGTCGCATTTTCTAACATTACTGGTCGTCGTTGGCCAGTGAGCGTCTTCTTGTTTACATGCGGTGGCGCGTATTTGTACCGTTTAATGCGCCGCCACGTACCTGGAGCCGCTCTGTCGGGCCAACTATGCGGCCTTGTGGATGGTACAGGTAAGTAGGTGCTAGATATCGTGGGTCGGTAAGCGCGGTAGCAGCCCTCGAGTCAACAACTTTTGTAGACTATCTCAGATGACGGCTCGTGTGTATCGAGCTTTGCTAGCGTTGACTCACGACGATATCGTAGATGGAGATCCTCGCTGTTCTGTTTTGGTGACGTAAGCTCCACGAAGGAACATCGAGATGGAGAGAAATCTTGCGATGGGGGTCTTCTTTCCAGTTAGTCTCGAATAGTTCTCCAACTAGTATGTGGGATTGAACATCGCGTGCTGGTAGGAAGTCTGGCTCGCGCCACTAAAGCCACATGTGCGAGCACTCGATCTTCACTGCCTTATTCTGGTTCATCTCCCGGACTTTGGATAAAAAATCGTTGAGAGTGACGTGCTGGATCTACAATCGATCTCTTATCTCATTCTTGTGTCCTTTATCTGAGACTGTTGGCCTTGAACCAATGTCTACACCTTGAAAGTCTATGGTTCGGCTATACCGCTATTGGAAGGTAATCGTCTTGATATGCTTTGAATACCGCTTTTGTAGTCGAGCGGCATGAATACGCCTGAACATTCATGGCATGGTCGCGTGCTTGACGTGCATTACGCATCTAGAGACTAAAAATTAATGTCGGGAGTCACCAAAATGAGGAGGAGAGACACGTCAGCACTCAGGCGGGTAGGGCGTTACGACGGATGAGCGGAATTATTGTTTGGTACTTGTTGGGAGCGGATTCGGCGGCTACTGTCTGTTGTGCTTCATCTGTGATACCCCACTACGACGAGCTAAGCATGGTATGTCCAGCCCATACAGAATCGTGTAGCTGACCTTTCTCGTAGGAAAAGGAATAGGTGACAAGCTCATTCCGTGTTAATATGACCTGTACGTATACGCTGAAGGGAGAGTCAAACAGCTATCAGCAGTCCTGTAGAACGCCTTCGGAAAATATGATTACTTATAAGTTGATCACAATCTGTTCAAGTTGACGTCAGCCCGTTCTAGTACGTGACATACCAATCACATGTGAGGGGCTGGCAAGATACTCAATAGTGGATAGAGTTGTTGAATGACATCTGCACAAGACAGAATAAGAACACTACCCCTAAACGTCAGGAAGCCGCGAGTTCCCGTCAACGCCACAACGTGGAGATGGAACCTTGATTTTTTCTATTCCAGAATTTGCTTCTCAAATGAGTAATGTTGGTTGCCTAAGCCACGATGAGCCACAAGATACACGCAACGATAGGCTCGTGCTTCCATTAGCTTGTTTCAGGTGGTTGACATCAATTCTTGATTCTGTCGTATTCCAAAGGATATGCTTTCAGATGTGCCCGAGCATTCAAGACTATTTTCGCTTAGGGGTGGATGTTGGTTCTGGTTGTCACAGGGGTTGTCATTGTGCTTTCTTTCTGCTTTCTCGACGATAAAAATGGCAGCCTTGGGACTGCCTGAGGGTGTTCCAAAGATCCGGTATTCTCCATGTTGGATTTGCTGGCATGAATCAAGAGGTCTAGTTACTCAACAACAGTGTCGAAAATATACTGATGTTCGAGGTTATCGCAAAATGTTGCTTGAGCGACCATGGAAGGCGCATGTTTGACAGAAGGAAGCCACTAGCTTGGTCTGTACTATACTATACTGTCATTGTGTAAGTCTCCAGCATAGCTTTGCTTCTTGAACCAATGCCATGAAAGACGTTGTGCTTGCGCTGTAACACTAGAATATGCTGCTTAGTTTTTATTTGGATCGAGCCATAGACAGCATTCACGTGCCCCGGATACTCGACTGAAAGATGACTTTTTTTGCGGGCAAAAGTCCACTTGCAGAGCTAAATGGTGTTAGCACTAGTGGATGTAGTGCCCCTGAACAAACAACTCGTGACCTGGAGGGATACCATTGTGCTAAACAATTATGCCATGCACAAATGCGGTCATGTCCGACTAGGCGACTCGGGTGTCCAAATCTTCGTATAAGAACAAGCGGAAAGAATCTTTACAAGATAAAGATAAAGGAAGGCGGTCGTGTGTGGACTTGGCACAAGTGACTGATCCAAGGTAGTCGAATCGCGAAAGTACTGCTAGCGACAGTCACGTGACTACAAAACGCGTCTAGCTGCACAAGCAGATGTACATAGGTGCTTTGCAGCATCGAAACTCCCTCGATTATCCCGACAGGAACGAAGTAAACTATGCAATAACATAGCTTATTGAAAAGTCCGCCTGCAACCGCCGAACATGGATAGTACGGCCGTGAACGAGTCGCGTCGCAGAAATGCCTCCGAAGGTATCACCACACCAGTCGCGCGCCTCACAACGCCACTCTCCTCTCCCTGGAGCTATCGTGGTAGTCCCTCTTTCACTCTGACCGCCAAGCGCAATAACTGGGCACTTTGATCATTTGCGATTCTATCAACCTTCTCTTGCGCCTATAGTCTTGGATGGTCTCGGGTTGGTGTGTGCGGGAAATTAAATGCGGGAATGAGATGATGCTAGGTGGCGGAAAGTACGGGGTCTGCTGCAATATTGTGACAACAACTGGGGCTTAAATCGTCTTCTGCGATGGACTGCCTTGTTATTATACATTCTCGACCAGTACTATAACAAGGATTGCAGAGATGGATACACCGACAGGAGCCTGACAACTGCCATATCTACAGCATCTTGTCGCATACCGCCTTGCTATCGTCCCATGACTCTGCATGGATGGCCGATCAAGTTTGGCGCAGCCCCTTTTCGAGTTGCGCGGTGCGGGTGAATGATTCGCTTTGGGCGGTGGCTGAGGCTGCCAAGTGGGTTCATCTCGGAAATGCCTTGAACAGCAACTGGATTGAATGCTGAAAGCCGACCCTTATGCGTTGTGAGCAACTCTCACCCAACAGCCTTGATTACTAGCTAAGGTAGCAGCACGTCTGTGTCTGTCGAGTAAGACGTGCCGAAGCTGCTGTATCTATGGTTCACGCCGGAAATTTCTATAGACAGTGCAGCCAGATAATGGCCTCGATCGGCAAAATCCCTGCGTCAATTGAATCTGCTTTGTGGCTGATCCAATGGGAGGTGGTTGAACGGTCGTAAGTTCAATACAAAGGGCCCTGACGATCTTACATGGTTCAGGTCCGATTGGGCCGTTCCGTGTCCTACTTGGGTAAAATGCGTCTGAGATGCAGTGTTGTTCCGTGCTTGTCCTCCGAACTAGCCACGCGTTTGGCACCGTCTAAACAAGCTCACGCTATGGCGACAAGTGGTTCCGTCGCGGGCGATGTTGACAGTGGGCCTGGTCACCACGTATTTACTCATGCACCCCCCAGGCCCGAAACTCTTTCTTACCGTGCCGTTAGCACCTCGTTGCCTACCCACGTTCATTCGCTGAATAACTTCACTCTTTTAGGTGTTCAGCACACATTCATTCGGTCGTTGTTGTAGAAGTCTGCATACATCCATTCATCTATACACCGGTCGAGTCATCAATTCACAATGCAGCTCACTACCTTCCTTTCGACGGCTTCAGCCATTATCGCAACCGCCTCCGCGTCCGCGAGGAGCGCCGTATCACTGAACAAGGAATGCAATTTCAATCAACCCTATGCCCGAGTTATCAACCGCTGCGATTACGATGTCTATCTCTGGTCTGTCTTTAAGGGCGATGGCTGCCCAGACGATGAAGCAGTTGTACTCAAGACCGGTGAAACTTATGCCGAGAACTACCTCGACTCAGGTTCGACTGGCGTTGGTGTTTCCATCAAGATTTCCAAGTCGATGGAGTGCAAGGGAACCGACATTACGCAATTGGAGTACTTTATCGACGAGTCCGAGACCTACGGTGGAAACTACCTCGACGTTTCTTACGTAGACTGTGGAGGCATGGATTGTCCAGCAAGAAAAGATGGATACTACCTTGTCGCTGGCGACCAAGTTGGCAAACAAAAGGCAGCCGCGGACAACACCTGGTGCCCTATTCTCTCCTGTACCGACGCGGCTACTTGCGACACAATGTCCTACGTTCTTCCCGATGACAAGCAGACCAAGACGTGCACGCAGAACGGAAACATGGACTTCTACCTCTGTGGTGGTGAAGCGCCCGGCACGGACAATGATTCCGCTCCTAAGCCCAAGCCGTCGTCCTCGAAGCAACCCGAGTCTTCTGCAACTCCTTCATCTACTTCAACTCCTTCATCTACTTCGACTCCTTCATCTACTTCGACTCCTTCATCTACTTCGACCGCTGATAGCTCCTCCGTTACTCCGTCGCCCACACCTACACCTATGCCTTCGCCGTCTACACCCGGTCTCGTCAAGACAGAGATCGTCTACGTCACCGCATATGTCAATGCTAAGAGGCACGAGCATGGCCGTCGTCACCAAGTTTTCCACGCATAAATTCAAATTCCCTAGTACTTTTCCGCAGCAGGATCCTTAGGAGCTAATTCGGCGATATTCTAAAACGTCTATAATTCAGGATACCTGTTTTGCAACATGTGTAGGAAAGACAAATAGGACAGAAGACAAAGGTTTATTCAACATCCGTAATGAAAGAGGCAGACAGCGTCGCAGGTCAATATATTCTTCAATATGTAATTTGTTTATCGAAGCGCCCCTCGTCATTGCTTGGGGTCGTTCGGTTTGATTGCGTACATCATCCACGCTCTTGAGGTTGTGGTTCCCAGGGGTGCGCCACCTGGAGATTCTGTGTCTCAGCAGCTACGTTCTCTAACACACTTTTAATTTCAATTCTCATGAAGTAACGATCGCTATATTATCTTGGGGTTCTGGCCTCTATTCATCTAGGTTAGTGGGATGTACTTGTTTCATCGATTCGCTTTCGCCAGGGATATTAAATTATTCTCTCATTGTCGACGAGCATTTGCTCAGAAGACCCTCCAGTCTAGTATATTTCCTATGTATCTACATAACACATTCTCTTACTACTATAATATTATTCAATGTACAACATGGGTGTCAACCCACTAAAAAGTGTGTAGCACATTTTGCCTCGTATTTTCGTCATCAGAAGGCGCAGCTGGTAGTGCGCAGACGCCTGGACTGCAATTACGAAACACATTGCGTCTGCACCTCGTGAGGACTACGAACATCAATCAATCGTGAATCTTGAGTTGGGATGATGAAACAAGCTCAATCCCTGACTACCTGAGTAACTGCCCCTGTTGAATTTGATCGTTGCGCTCCGTCTCTCAACATGTTGAACGGTTGTACCCACATGCTAAAGGTTGAGCATGCGGAACGGTCCAGCTCACGTAAACTAATCATCGCGACCATGATGATTGTTCGCAGTTGATCTGCTTGTGATCATCAACGATCAGCGAACATGTTCGGGGAGCAGTAGTTCTGGAATCAATGTCTTTTTAAAGTTAAAAGATTGTGCATGAATGCACAAATGCTTTTCCGACAACTGTCAACCCGTCAGCGCCGGTAATTGGCTACGCTAGCACCACACAGGTCATCTAAGCACGTTTATTTGTGTCATGGTTGAGAGTCCCACTTGTACCTTACAGTTGCAAGTTCACGTGTGATCTCCATGGTCTGAAAAATTGTGTGTTCTGTTTTGCGTTCCATGAGTGTCTAATTTGATGTAGGTTCGATGAGCGAATTTGCCAACATGCGCTATTAACCCCAGGCGCTTTGAATAATGTGGTAGAGGTTGGGTGTTGCAAAGCTATTTAAGGTTACGTAGTACATGTTCAGCCGGCCGTGAACTTGCATACCAAAGTCTATTGGTAATCATCCCGCTCCATGGTTGTTCGATTATCGAACCGCACATCGTACTATGTGGTATCGTACCTGCTTCGTGTATGCATGGAAGATGGGTGGCGTATTGCCTCATCGTGCAGTAGTTCAATATTCCAAAGTTCTATGAATCGCAGCTGTGGAGTCGATAGTTGTGCCCCACAACTGTCGTCATGGACCCAATCTCCACTTTCCTTGCTCACATATCGTTTGCCTGATATGGCACATACTTTACAATACCGTTTTGAGTGCTTATCAATTCCTGCATGGATGTCAATGCCTAGGCCCACCCTCCTCTTGGGGCCTGAAAGACCTCGGCGTATCTAGGCTAATAGCCATTGCCAAACTTTAGAGGTCATCCCAGAAAGATTGAGACTGGGCCCTATAGTCTAAGTAATATCGTGCAATGGAAATTTAATCTTTGAGCGTACTCTGTGCGACCATCCAAATTGCAATATTTCTACTTAATATAAGATCAATGCACTTGCAATTCAAATTGCACATATGTGCTGCTTTTCTGGTGAGTAATATATTCACTACGACCTTGCGAACACAGAAAAGTAGGCCATCTGAAGTAGTCTTCTGTAGCATTGGAAACAGTTCACATAAACTACCTACGGCCTAAGTAGTCGGCTTCTTTCTCCATGGAAGCAGCAGTCTTTGAGATGCCCCTTTTTCGGGGCTATGATTACTTACTTTCGGCGCTTCTACCCATTCAACCGCAGCCCTTCCACCAACCACTTCAATACCCCAACGAACTTCCCCGTCCCTATCTCTGAACCAACCCAACATGGTCTTGATGTCTGCAGATTTCTTGACCCCATAGCCTCGATCTTGAAGCAGCTCCAAGAGGTTGTCACTACCTGCGACGAGCACCAAGACATCAGCAATAAGCTGGATGTCACGAATTAGAGTACTCGTATACTTCCGTTGCAGCCAGGTTATCACAATGGTAGTTCCAATGAGCCAAATGACTATTGCAACGGAGAGGTACGTTGCAACCACATTCATATGAAGGATTTGAATGCGGCTAGAAACTTGCCCTTCAGCTGTGCGGTTCGTGTTTTGGTTGGCGTACTCGCGTTGCGGGAGAGCTGTACCGTTCCATGTGATAGGCGCACCTAGCTCTTGCATGCTGTTGTCGCCAATTTTCTGGTAAGCTAATCCGCCCGCCTCCAACGATAGACCGTTGGTAACGAAATGTTGGAAGAAGGTTTCGAAGGTTCGACCAGCATTTGTAACAAGCGTCTCATAGTCTAGCAGTGCACTGGGATCCCTATTGACGAGATTGTACATGCTGTAAGTCATCAAGTCCATGTTCATACCGCTTTTCATATCGCGCATGACAAAGGCATTGTCTTGGATGTACTCCCAGAGTGTGATCTTGTCGTTGGCGGCTTTGAACATGGACCCCATGAATAGAACTCCATAGCTCGTAGTCATGTTTACTGGTCCTTTGTACGTTTCATTCAAGCGTTGATTTGGCGCATTGCCGGTGAAATTGCGTTGGACGAATACCTCTGACCAGGCTTCCTCTGCAGAACAAACGGAACCCATAATCTCAAAAGACTGAACAGTTCCCGTATCCTTATCTACGGCGACTCTGGCATCTGCTGCCTCAATGATTGGTAAACAACGTGCAGCCTGTATGGCAGGTACTTCGTCAAAAACCAAAGCATCTTCACCGCCTCCTTGTGGTTTTCCGACAATCCATTTCGTGACGAACGGTACTGGCCACTCACGATCTTCGTAAGGGAAGCTCTTGACTTCGACTGGTGACCAATATCCAATTACGGCTGTATCTGTGTCGTTGTTGGTTGTGTTTGAACAGCATCGAATCATACTACTGGTGGCAAAAGTGGAAGTATTTGAGGGGCCGTCATTGAAGATGGTGGGCGGAAGAATATAGCCATCCTTGGAACCCGTTATGTCTACTTCTTCCTGATATGACGATGGGAGGTCATCTATGGTATTGAGCCATGTCGAAATGTTCACTATTTCCGGTATTCTTTGACATTCGAGTTTGGCTCGAAGAGCTTGTGTCATGACTGTCACATTGCTCGGATACAAAATGCCTTGTTTGGGATTGGTCTGGACCGGTGCTGATCCACCTGCTTTAGAAAGATCAATGGGAATGAAACTCCAGCCATCTTGTGTCCAGGTAGGCTTTGTTCCGTTGAGTGATAGCTGGATGGTAGCTCCGGGTAACCAATTCTTCGGTGGGTCTAAGAGAAGTTCGTTGAGCACTTTCCAAGGGAGTTGACCTGGGCTGGTCCCTGACCAAAGATCATCCGCAGCCCTATGAGTAGTCATAATTGGTAGCATTCTATCTTCTAGAGTTCTTTGAAACATGGTCGGATGAACGACGTTTGTGGATTGCCGCTCAAAGACTGCTGACATCGATACGGTGACTGTTGTACAATTGTTAGCGAATGAATAGAAATTTTCTAGGAGTTGTCGTACGAATCTGGCAAAGAACACTACCTAGAGCAACCATGAACAGTATCCAGTGTCTATTTAGCCCGGCCTTGATGGCTGCCCCAACCCAGGTCTTGGAGCGATATGTTAGACCTGCTCCGTTCCGGATCGGCGTCGGCCGCCGTGACATTGAAATGTACGGTTGTAGTATTCTGAAAGTTGAGTCTAGCTGGTCCCACCACAGTCCAATTACTATACTGATAACGGTTGGTGCGATCGAAATTGGGGCGAATGTAGAGAAGCTTAGGCCAAGCTTGGAGATGTCGGCTTCGTATATAAAAGCTTTCTGTGAAAGGCGGGACCGCATAGAGAAGACGTTAAGTACCATTACAGCTATCAGAACGCAGACGAGAAAGCAGAAGAGTGCGAAGAGCATGCTTAATCGCAAGACTACAGGTTGCTAGCGTCGTGGTTTGTAAGAGGTCGCAACTGTAGCTTAACATGAAGTCAGTTTTTTCCAAGCTCGACGGTTAATGCTGTTAAACTTACTCGTACTACTTGAGGCATGGTTTTCAGTCGCGCATATCTCTCCATCCTGCATGTAAAACATCTCTTGCTTTAAGACTTCCCGAAGCTCCTTGCGGGATGCTTTGTGGTTTCTCCTGAATATCAAAGATTGTTCTGATTGACTTCGAATGAGCATTGCATGCCCAATAGCACTGCCAGGGTCTGTACTGAGGTCGAGCGGGCGAAAAGTAAGTCGGGAAACCCAAAACACAAGGGCCAACAGCACAGAGGATACAAAGAACAGAACGGCCAAGGCTATGCCGATCTCCCTAAGTACCATGACTCTCTCTTCTATCAAAGTAGTTTCACCCCTTATGGTGTTGGTTTCCACTGCGGCCGGATCGCGGAGGGACTCACGAAGACATTCGGTAAAGAACCGACCTTTGACCCTCGCAACCTGGGCACCGAAATCTTTGTCTTCGAACATTCGAGTGATGTTGAAAGAATATATGGCGCCGAGCAATGGACCAACTCCAGTAAATACAGGGGCAGACCTGACTATTTTTGGATCAGCGTATGGGCCCTGGACGTTATCCAGTCCTCGAGTCGCATCAGTTTGCATGCTCTCCGTGCTGAAGTAATCAGCCCAGGCATCTTGTAAAATTGTTCTTTCAAAATTAGGTATGTCCAAGAGTTCCTTTGGTATCGGTGCGCGGTTGGCCGAGTCAACATGTGTGGAGGTGATGTTTGGTGGCCTCCCTGTTGTCATTAACGCAGAAACGTTGAGGCTTTCCTGGAGATAATGAGACTGACAAAGTAGCGCCTTCATGCGGAATTCAGGTGATCGCTCAAAGGTCCGGTTATGCTCGATGCCGGGACCCCAGCTGGTATTGAATTGCACGTCTTTTGCCCAAGGAGTGCTTAGTATAACGATATCGCGATTCGCGCACTCATCGGATGCACTATGCCTGGCATACGGACTTGTCTTTGAGACTTCGGCAGGAAATGGCTTCCTACCGAGAAGCAGTAATGTCTTTCTTTGCACGAACAAGGTAGAGGTATTCGACCACGTTAAGCCCCCAGCACTGATTTGACCAGCAGTAGGATGGAAAGACATATTGTACATGCATCCGTCATTCGACTTTAGAACAAAATGAACCATAGGTTCAATGCCCTTGTAAGGGCCATGTTGCATCCGGTCGTACGCACTGTATGGTGTTGGTTCCAGAGTATCACTCTGCAAAGCCATATCCTGGCAGCTCAGATCCGTATGTAGTGCCGTTGTCTTGGCTGTCAAAGAATTGTATTTGGACACTAGCTCGGGTCCAAACTGGCCACTCTCGATAGAAGGCCAGAACGGTAGCGTGAGTGATTTATCCGAGATCCAGGCCGAAGTGGAAACATTCCTCATAAGAGCAGCCATCGTCCCGAAATATGTCTCTCTATTGGCAACTATGGGTAGTTGTGCGTTAGCCCTTGGTACAACTCTGCTGAATTCTAATGGTTTCGAAATGACCACTTCCGCAGATGTAAGAAGAGCAGAAGATAAAGGAGAAATGGCGAAGAGAGCCATGATGTTGATGAATGTGCAGCAGATCAGACACCAGCTAGTTTTACCAATCGACTTGCGCTTAAAGAGAAGATCGGATAAAATGGTCCACCACGCTCTTGGTGTCTGTAGTACCGTTCCGGAAGCATTGACACCCATGGGCGGTGCTTGAGCCAAGCGTGTAAAAGGTTCTGTACGCTTTGCGTCTTCGAAAAGGATTACTGTTAACTGAGTGTACAACACGGCCAGCAGGGTTGGTGTGAAACGCCAGCCAAATAGTATGGCAGAAGAGCCATCGTCAGTAGCGAGACCGTAATGGTTTTGTGAATACCAGACAAGCAGTGATACAGTGACTCCAAGACTAAAGCTGGCCGAGATGGGTATGACCAAAAAGTACCATTTCAAGGTAAATGGTAGCCAAGTGGTTTCTTGGCCATGTCTATGGCCGTGTTGTACTTTGCGGTATTAGAAAATTATCAATGTAAAAACTATGGAGTAGCGAACCTGATTCTAGTGGTACAGAATTTGGTGGAGGCGGGCTGAGGGGCCCTGTTTCAACTGGAGATACGGGGCTCCCTAAAGATTGCTCCATGATTATAGTCTTCGCGGCACCTCTGCCGTGCGAAGGAACTACCGAGAAAAAGAAAAACAACTAAGAAAGATACAGAACCACACGCTACCACACTCGCAATGTGGGAGCATGTGCATACTATTTGAGTTGTACGCTCCCTTCCCTCAGTTGTACCTGCGCCCTTTGCCCCCATTGTATACATTGCGGCACAGCAACTAGCGCAACAAAACCCCACTACCAAGAGTCAAATTCAGTGAAGACATACCCGAAGTTGTGGACGCGATCATGTTTCATGACCGCCGTGCAATAGCAAGGCTGGCTAAGCGCCCGGCCGAAAGTGCAGACGACCGTGCAGCGGTTCGCGCCGACAAGCCAGCAGCAAAGGGTACGCCTACATGGCGATCGTGCAGCCTAATTGCAAGGCGGACTCAGGACAGTGAAGGCTTAGAATTTATGGGTCCGCTGTAAACTACTGAAAGGAAGCTCGAGTGCAGTCACGTTATCATCAACTGGGTTTTTGAGCCGCAGGCTGATGACATTCGAAGACGCTCGAATCAGTCATTTAGCAGCTCGATGTAACGTTTTTTTGCAAGCTTATTAAAGATTGCAACACATACTCCGATGTTGTTTCTCACGGAATTTCATTACCAGCTTTTTTTTTGTTTCTTTAATTGGGATTGAGAATTGTGCTGGTTTATGACTTATGCCAGTCGAGATGCATTGGATGTACTTATGAGGTAGACCAAGATTTTAGCCGCCCGGACTAAGTACCGAAAGGCACCTGGCATATACCCACATTTTAGCAAGGTCACTCTTATCCTCCTGCCCTTTTCGCATGTTAGCCTTGTTATATCCTATCAGGGTATTGGAAAGTAAAAAAAAGAGTGTTACAAACTGGCGAGGTGCAGACAAGCGCGGCTAGCAACATTGAATCGTCCTCAGGTACTATCGACATTGCATTATGCGTACAACTTCGCCTCCTCAAGTCTATCCATGTGTTGCTCAGGTCCATTCACCCATACACTATACTTTAATGTTAAAAATATTTTAGAAATATTTTGAATCAGATTTTACGACAACTTTCTCTAGCGCTACAGGCTGCTGTCTCCTTTCATAGATGGCACGATAGCTACTGCAGTCGCGAAGTCTCCATCATGGCTAATGCTAATTTCGCATAGCTGTCCCTCCAACTCATGCACATTGAGAAGAAGAGGAGATCGCCCCTTGTCGCCCAAACTAGCACCCATAGAATCAGTCGGAAGGGCCTGTGTTTTATAGACCTCATCAAGAATTAAGCCTTGTGGACGCGATGATTGGTGTTCGTTACGATTCAGTGAAGTAATGGGAAGAATTATGATTTGTTGGAAGCCTCTGGAGTTTTTATCTAGATGGTCGCATGCTTTGCGACATGCCTCCTTTGCAGCAAATCTTTTATCATGTGAGCTTTTGGTTTTAATAGTTTCGCAAATTTGTGTACACACCGGCCTGCGAGGAATGCAGCAACAGCATCAGTTTTTGTGAGAATATCGTCTGCAGATGCAAAACGCTGCCAAAAGTACTGTTGTTCATGACTGGTAAGAACTCTCTTCAAGAATTGGTGTAGCGGACGCAGCGGATCGCCATCGTTGCGCCTGGTAATAACGCTACGTAGCCTAGAGATACTGCAAATGTCTGTGCCCACTCTGAATGGGAACGGAAACGCCCGGGGTGGCATGGGTGTGAGTGATGTTGTGTTGTATGCACGAGGGAAGCGTCGTGCCAAGGACAACGGGACACAACCTAAGCGTTGATAAACAAAAACTGGTTTCTGTCAACAAAAAATAAAAATTCGGACATCAGTCAGATCGAAAATTCGGATTCAAAAAAAGACGACGTTGGCCAGATTCGAACTGACGCTCCCGAAGGAACAAGATTTCTAGTCTTGCGCGATAACCACTCCGCCACAACGCCTAGTGTTCGAAACGTTCTTAATACTTCGATGGTGTTTTCTGACATAACAAATATTATATTCAGTTTATAACAGCTATCGCCAACTAAAGGCTGCATAAGAGTAAAGAATTGAGTCAAGCAGTCTGACGCATTGCGAAAGAGTGGGGCGCATCATCCAATAGTGTTCTTCTACTGTACCTCAGATCATCGTATGGTCGCGTGCTATGCCCTTTCGCCCTGGACAATAATAGCTGACTGATAAGCAAAAATCGTATCATTCTACACCGTTCGACCTCGGCAACATACAAAAAAGAACACCGTTTACGTTTTGACTATGAGAACGACGCTATTGAGATGAAGGGTTGTGTTATTAGAAGCTGTTAGCAGAGTCTCCAACGAGGTAAAAGAAGGAGCAAAAGTCACATACCCTTGTATCGCAACAGCTGGGAGAGGAACAAAAATGGGACGATTTGGTCTTACCAGATGCTCATTAAGATACGAGAGTTTGAGTTTCGACTGACAACTCTGACTTCATTTTTGCCCGTTCAATGCCGAATCATGGATATACAAGTATTCCTTAGCATTCGTATTTTCCCCCTTCTGCATCACATCCACCTTCAGTCTCTCAACACCCTTCTCACTGCTTTGTCATCACTTCTACTGTAGATATTCTTGAAATCAAAGATATAAAGTCTCTTCTTATCGCCGTGGTTTTGCTTTTCGCATCCGCACAAGTGCTAGCATAACGTATGTCATCATAGCTGTTACTATTCATGCTCTTTTTACGGTAAATTTCCAACATAGCATAGTAGAGCCTGTCCATCTATGCTGTGGCCCAGGAACACAAGGACGAGCAGGCGATTCAGCGGGCTACTGCGAGAAATTTGACGGTCATATGCTCTGTGTATGTATTGCCAGAACACTAAGAATATCTATCTTAGTGACTAACAAACACAGTGTTTGAATGCCGGCAAATTCAAACATGAAGACAGATGTCATCCAGGAATGGATGCGCATCGTATGAGTATTACATACCTGGCGAACCCAGTAATCCGAAACGTTGATACTTGCAGCTACAAAGTTGGCCAAGTTACGATGAACGGTTTTCGATGGTGTGCCCTGGATGCTAGTAGCTGGTAGCCGGTATATACCCCGACCCTAGAGTGTCAGTCTCTTCATTCGAGTGAGAACCGCACAAAGCTCTCTAAGTCAAGGGAACCAAGACATTGATTTTCGTGGACAAGAAATGTGGTGCTGTAGAATAGATGCTCGATAAGGACCACAGTGTCATCAAGAATCAAGAACATTCGACTTAAGGCTTAGCTATCAAATACTCTAAAATCAACTGTAGACTCTGGTGACTTGATGAACCCAGATGCAATGATCACTGCATGAATCACGTGACTGCAGCTCGCTTCGAGTCGCATCCTTCGTGCTTACTTACTACTAGTTCTTAGTCGTAGTACCACACTCGGTTAGAAAGGTCTAGTATGAGCCACACGGCTCGGTATTTATGCTTCATGGCCTTCGCTCCTAGCTTGTCCCGACTTGCAATTATTTGCTAGGAAAAAAAACAAAAGTCAACCAGAATGAATTGTGCACATCCTAAAGGCTGAACAGCGCACATGTACTGTAGATAGTACCGGTGAACTGTACGACAGTGCACACGCTTACGGTCGCATGTCGGAATTCGAAAGCTTGGGATAACCAAAGAAACAACTGTGCTTTCCCGATGCCCTCGGAATCCGATGATGGGTTGTGCGCAGTCAGCTTCGTGTTGAGCCGACCATCATCCCGCTCAGACCATATGTACGCATGTACGTAAGTACCAGGGTTGGTGCTCACGCAAGTGTTGAAACAGTGCTGGCAGTCGTCAACGCCAATCCGCGTGCGACATCTAGGGCAGATGGCAAGTGACGCAAGGCTACACCGTCATTTTGCGAGGCTTACAGGCAAGGGGCCCCAGGGTTGAGAATGTAGGCTTGAGGTGTGGATGCGGGGCTGAATGCTCGGACTGCTTGGCTCTCCTTCCGTAGAGTCCGGTCTAGGGACGATGGAATGGGGCCGCTACGGGTGTGGTACCTGCGATGGCGGCATGTCAGTTAGTGACGATCAATGCTGTGGCAACGGCTGTTGGCATGTCTCTTCTAAAGGCCCGTTTTCCCACTGCTTATTATTTGCTTTGGTTCTGTCGCGCGTTGCTTCGGATTGTGTACTACTACTACGCTTCCTATTTCCAATGCAACTACTTACTTCACCAAGCCTCCTAGGCGTTCGGATTCTCACACTAGATGCTACCGGACCTGAATACTCGCGCTGGCGACGCAGTGTCAGGTTTGCTTTGGAAACGAAAAATCGGTGGAAATACTGCAATGGCAGGCGACCGATGCCGATGCCAAAGGCAACACCTGCCATAGCCGAACCTAACGATATACAACCAAGCTTACTGGAAGAACGACGAGAATGGGTGCGACGAGACCGCGAGGTCAAACTTGACATATTCCAGTCACTAGCAGAAGAAGTGATGCAGGATGTATTCGGTGTTGGCCCTCCGCTTCCCCCCACACAGTACACTGCGCAGCAAATGTTGCAAGCACTAGACAATCGGTTTAGTGTCTTTGAGTTTGAAGGCTACCACCACGCGTTCTGTCATTTTTTGAACTTGCACGTGGATCAGTACGAGAGCCTCTATGATTTCAACAAGGAGTTCCTAACGGTGCTGGAGGATCTGCATGACTATGGCCACCCAATGTCCAACGTCCAAGCATGCAGCGCATACTTCTCCAAGCTGCAATGCACACAGAACCCATGGGTAGCAAAGAAAGTTGCAGAGTGGGATGTCCAACCTTTGGAGCCGCAGCTCTGCGATCTTATGCAGGCAGCAGTGCTCTGGCCGAGCACCAAGTCTCTTGCATGCAACTCATGGCGGGACTGCTTTACGAAGCCCAAACCAGAAGAGCACATGGATGACGGTGTTGAGCCTGGACCTGCATATAGCGACCTTGCACCTGAACTTTCGGACACATCCACGCTATCATCCAAAGCTTCACATTCGAGGGAAATGTCCGAGATGATTTCCGAGCGGCAGATTAGAGCGGCGATGGATTTAAGCAGCAAGCAGTTTGATCCAAAAGCATTGTGTGAAGCGCTTCAGAGAATTCCAGCTATAGTGGGTTCAGAAAGGCCGAGTCTGGACGAAGGCGTAAGATCAGACCCGACAACGCCTGAATGGCTAAGCGCAAGAGAGAGCATCGATTCACAGCCACCGATGCAGAGAAATTCAGGATCAGAATCAGCCGATATCCCAATACTTTTACTACCACCAGCTACCCTCCATAAACCAGATAGCAACCCACACATACGTTCTCTATCAACTCCCATACCTGAGATAGCGCTCAACCAGCCCACGATCCCAGAAAAGAGTCCTCGACGAAAGACAACCGACTTCTCGTTCAAACAAGCCGTCATCTCCATCCAAGCCAACCAAAAACCCCCCTCATTGTCCGACCACCCCGCATTCCGAAACAGAACATGGTCCCCCCCAGAAACCATAACCGCAGACCTCCATCCAGCCCTGCGCCCAATGACCCCACTCCTCAAGCCGCAAAAGCCAAAGCCGAAACAAAAAGAACGTTCGTGCTCGCCCTTCGACCTCTCAAGATCCAAGCCTCCGCCTCCGCAACGCAACCACCGCCGCCGCCGCGCCCGCAGCGTAGGAAACTTTTCCGCCCACGACACCACCACCTCCTCCTCCTCCTTCCTCTCCCCACCCTCCAGCACAAACACCAGCGGCACAAGCAGCACAAGCACCATACTCACCCTCCCCCTCCAAGGCTCCACCCTTGTTCCCGTCCCAGACACCGCCACGCCACCATCCTCCCTCCTCCCACCCACCTGCCCTTTACCTCCCTACAACTCCACTCCACCGCTCCCTCCCCCCTCCCCCGTCCACTCTCCCTCCTCTCAATCGCAAAAACCCCTCCCTTTCCTCCCCCTCCCCTTCACCCACACACACACCCGATCCCCCTCCGCCCCGCCCCTACAAACCCAACGCCCCATCCAACCCCCAGTCTCTAAATTCTCCCTCCCGGCTAGTACCCCGGATGCCGCGCCGGATCCGGCGCACAAAGACAAACATGCGAGGGGTGCGCATAAGAGGTTTAGGAGTACGGGCGATTGCGATACTAAAATTAAGCCTAAAGCCGGGTGTAGGAGTGGGAAGGAGGCGAGAGAGGCACGGGACGCGAGGGATGAGAATAAGAAGAAGGAGAAGAAGAGTTGGAGTTTGGGGGTTGCGAGGATGGGCAAGTTGGGTGGAGGGAAGGGAGAGGAAGAGGGGGTGTGTGTGTAGTTGATATCCACCCTTTCTCTTTTTTTTATCTCTTTCTTTTCGATATCCGGGTTGGAGCGTACGTATTGTTGTGGAGTCACTCGCTTTCGTTTTTTTTCTATATACCCTTTTTTGTTTTAGGATTTCGGTAGTCTACCTCGATTGGTGAGGAGGAATTTCCATTCTTATCTTGTCTTAGCGTTTTTTTCCCTTGTGAATCGAAACAAATTGAGCGACTGTAAATGTCAGCCATCTCCTTCTGCTTTTTCTCATTAGATATGACTTCTACACTTTAACATCAAACAGCAAACACCACAAAGTGAAAAGGGACTCTTGTCTGGTACAATTATGGAAGAAGATCAAAACTTTTGCTAAAAATGGCAATTGGTCTATATCCGCCATCTTATACTATCGGAATGATGCAAGCGTCTTTAAGTCCCCACATCAAGTGTCATTAGTCATGTCATGCATGTATTGCAATCACGACTTTGTCTACCACGTCATGTTGTACAAGCCCTCTACATCTACTGCGTCTCACGCACGACCTTGTCTACAGCCTTTGCAAAGTAGTCAATGTTGTGTGAGTTGAGACCAGCCATGGAGATACGGCCGTTCTTGGTCATGTAAACGTGCGAGTCCTCTCGGATCTTGAGCACTTGCTTCTCGGTCAAACCGGTGAAGCTGAACATGCCAATCTGGTCGGTAATATGGTTCCATGTGCCGGGTGTGCCCATTTGCTCGAGCTTGCTGCGGAGCTGCTTACGCATCTCCTTTATGCGGCCAGACATTGTGCGGAGGTTCTCTTCCCACTCGGCAAAAAGGGTAGGATCGTTGAGGACTGTCGAGGCGATGCGGGCACCGTATGCAGGAGGATTTGAAATCTCAGAGCGCTGGAGGATGGCAAGCTGCGAGGCGATGCGGGTGATGGTCGACTCGGCGTCGGATGAGGGTGAGGTGATGAAGTGGAAGCAGCCAGCACGCTCGCCGTACAGACCAAAGTTCTTTGCGTACGATTGAGCAACGCACATCTCAAAGCCCTGCTCGACAAAGTAGCGGATGGCCCAGCCATCGGTAGCAAGGTCGCCAGATGCGAAGCCCTGGTAGGCCGTGTCAAAGAAGGGAAAGTGCTTCTTGGACCTGATGACGTCGGCAATCTTCTTCCATTGGTCTTGAGTAGGGTCTACACCCGTGGGGTTGTGGGCACATGCGTGCAGGACGATGATGCTACCCTCGGGCGCGCCCTGGATGGCAGAAATCATGCCATCAAAGTCGAGGCCCTTTGTGTCCTTTGAAAAGTAAGGGTATGTCTTGTATTGGATGCCGACATTGGAGAAGATCTGGAAGTGGTTGGCCCAGGTGGGGTCGGAGAAGTAGACGATGCGCTCGGTCTGGGGCTTGTAGAATTTTGCGAGGAAGAGGGCGCCCAAGTGGACGGCTCCGGTACCGGAAATGGTCTGGAGGCTGGCGACCTATGTGGAGTGAGCTCAGGCCATGGGAAAGTGGCGTGAGAAGCTTACCCGCTTGTCCTTGATGGCGGGGCTGTCACCACCAAGAACCAGCTTCTGTGATGCAGTTGTGAACTCGGGTAAGCCGGCAATGGGCAGGTATTCGTGGTTAAGGTTGGGGTCGGCACGGAGGCGCTCTTCGGCCTGGAGGGAGAGTGTGAGCAATAGTAGAAAAAGAAGGTTAATAGTAGGAAGCGGGGGCGTGAATCACCCCACACTCGACGTGGACTCACCATCTTGACAACGGGCAAGATCCAAGGCTTTGCATTGTCATCTCTGTAAGCGCCAATGCCCAGGTCGACCTTGTTGGGGTGCTCATCACGGCGGAAGGCGGCCATCAGACCAAACAAGGGGTCTTCGGGCGCCTGGGGGACGACATTGGCGTCGAAGGCGGTGGCAGCCATGGGGACAATGTGCGAGGAGATTTGGGAGAGACGGGTTTGGGGGGCGGTAGTGGTGTTGGAGGAAGAGGGTGAGGAGGAGGACGGGGATGAAGTAGATGAGGCTGGCATGGCTGTGGCGTCGAGTGCCAACCAAGAGCACCACGTCTCGCACCGGTTAAGTTTCACCGCCCGAGTAAAGGAAAACTGGACGCCGCGTCTGCCCACGCTAGCCCCCGCAGATTCTACTTGGGGTGAGGGGGGGGAGTGACCGGCCGGTGAGGAGATGCGGAGGGCGGAGAGTGGAGCAGATGCAGCAGAAGCGTGAACGAAGAACGCCAGGCAATGCAGGGCCCGACTGCACCCAGCAGGCCGCTATATATGTGTACCGCGACACAGCTGTTTTCTTGCTCGGTCCATCTGATGCAGGGTCGTGTGAGCAAGCCGAGGCACATGTCGAGCACCATGGCCGCCGAGTACCCGCCCAAGCCTTCTCACATGCGCTGCCTCTGCCTCCGATTACGTCGTGACAAGCTCCCGTCCAGGTTTGCGGGCAGTCTAGGAATGAACCGCTGTGGGGGGGACCCCACAGGGCTGGCATTGCTTGCTTCTTGTAGCAATCTGGTCCACTCAGCATGCGCCCGATGCTAATGCGCCGAGCCTGGCATCAACTATCTTCGCATCTTGGCTATCTGTCTGCCTACTGCTTGATACAACCACTGCCTCACGAGTACTGCGCTTCTTACACAAACAAGTCCCACAGCACCAGCGTCGCGCAAAACACACTCGTCGCCCAGAACACTTTTTGCGCCGTGCTGCCCCGCTCCGTCGCCCGCTTCAGCTCCTTGTTGCCGCTCCCCACGTTTTCCTGCGTGTTGAGCGAGTCCTCGACCAGCTGGTCAATGTGCGCTGCCTGCATGCTGAGATTGCTCGCCAGCGTCGACTGCAGCTCAGAGATCTCGGTGAGTGATTTTTCCGTTGCGCTGCCGGGGCGTTAGCAGATGCATAGTCACGCGCATACACCACCGCCACATACCGGATCTTGTCAAGCTGGTCCTCATACTGCTTGAGCATGTCCTGGTTCTCTTGCGCAAACAGCTGAAGCTGTTCGGGATCCAGCTGATTCTCAATCACCGTGCTCCCTTCGTCCGCGCTATACGATGCCGTCCCCCGGTAATCTGCCTCAGCACCCTGCCCACCCTTGGCCGGGTCGTAGTCGGCCATAACCGGAGCTGTAATCCTCGTCTTGTGCAGTACGCTCTTGCTCTTCTCCACCTCTCGCGTGAGCCGAATCTCCATCATGTTGCTCTGGAACTGCCCGCACTCCTCGAGCTGCTTCTGCAGCGACCATATGATGCTCTCTCGATGCGCCTTGATCGTGTTTGCCTTGGCCTCTTCAATCTCTTCCTCTGGGCTCTTTGCTGTGATTGCCCCGCCTGCTGCCCATCGTCCCAGCGCGCCCAGTCCCTGTTTCGCCCGCTTCTTCAGCGCAACTTGGCTTTGGGCTGCCTGTCGCGCTTGCTCTGCAACCCCCAGTGTCTTGATGGCATCGTTGAGTTGGCGTATTGACTGCTTCGCTTGCAAATCAATCTCGTTGCGCTGCGCATCGCTAAGGTACTTTGAGTCCTTGTCACCAGTAGACGAAGTGCTGCTTCGTGCCAGCTGTTTCCGGCGGGGTGGATTCGCAGTAGAGAGATAGCTCTGCCGTATCGATTTCAGGTCGGTATGCAGCTTGGTTATGTGT